TCAGGGTTATCGTGACGCCTTTTTGATAATATGTCTTCGGTCGGTTGCATTGAGCTACATGCTAATTTGTGTATTACCATTAGGTAGCTCTTCAGTCTGTTATAGGTGAGCATATACGGATCCGACTGTCGTAATTTTTCATCATACATCTGTCATTTCAGTCGGATGACAGTTTTGTTAATCCTCCATTTTGGTGTTTCTGAGAGATTCACATTTCTTTCTTGCTGACAGTCTCCATATGTACTGTGCTTTTCTTTTCTTCCTAGGGAGACTCCAAGTGCCTCTTTTCATCAAGGGAATCTGTTTCACAAAAGGGAAAATTAATGTCGTTGTAGGGATAAAATCGTTCACGGTCATCTTGACAACTACTTTCATCCACTCCTAGTGTTCGTCCACCATTAGTGAATATTAGTACTGTGGCCAAGCTCAAAGTTGCTTTCACGGCAGCAGCATTGAGTAGATGAGTTACCTTCGGTTATTTTTCCTGAAATAACTAAGTCAAATAGTAAATTGAAAATCCCCATTGAGTCATATGAAAAAGAGAAGACATTCAGCGAAGAGACTCTTTTCGGCGAATTCATTCACATAGCTGTACAATCGCATTTATATATAAATATTTGTGTGTGTGTGTGTACATGAGGTTTGTCAAGTTTAGATAATTGATTAGTTAATACAAGAATGATGTAGTATAGAGACAAAGTTAATCAGACAGCAACTAAAGTGAGACTGATTTAAAAAACTAGATGACGTAATATAATTGGCTAAAATGTTACAACTTAGGTAAGGATAGCAACAGAGGTAATTACGGGTAGAGATTAAGTAGAAGTGAAATTGAGTGAATAAGTTGGATGACGTAACATGAATGACTAGAAACTGAGCGTTGTTCAAGTCAGTAACAGTGGTAATGGGGTGTAGAGATTGAATCGGGTGGGGGTAGAGAACAAGAAAGTTGAGAATGTAAAATGTTATAATTGAGAAGACTAAATAATAATACTAATGAAGAGACAGAAAAAAAAAAGATTAGGTAGAATTTACATGTCGGCTAATAAGATAGATTACGTCCATTGCAAGTGTAACGATTGAACGAACTTCTTCTGTATGCAGAGTTCAGGACTTAGCAAGTGAATCGCCATTGCTTCTGCAGTTTGAAGAAGTCTGATTCGTACACCTTTAGGGAGACCACCTCTTACTCTGTAGACGACTTTGAATTTTGTTTGCGGTGTAGCTTGGTGTCCGGATTCTATCAGATGTTCTAAGATGGAACTGCGGGGGCATCGATTTTCTCCTTTGTAAAACCATGTTGGTAAGTGCTCGGTGATACGTTTGGAAAGCGAGCGCTGGGTACGGCCGACATACCTGGCTCCACACGAGCAGGTGAATTGATAAATACACATTGATGAGGCCAGCAGCGGTAGCTTATCCTTCACGTTCACATGAATCATAGGTTTTGTGGAGAAGGTTATTCGTAGTTCAGCTGCGAAGAAGGTCTTCTTAAGTGAGCGCGACAGTCGATTTTTTAGTGTTTCCGCAGATAGATCTCCATTGAACTGGAGGTTCATGTAGAGTAGTTTTTTCTTGACGCTGAGTATGGGCGGCTTTTCTGGTCTAGGATTCATAGATTTTGCAATAAATCTTTCTGGGTAGCAATTCTCGACGAGGATTCTCTTGAGGTTGTCCAGTTCATCTTCTATGGTGTCCGGGGTGCAAATTCTGCGAACTCTGTAGCTGAGTGAACGGATGAGGTTTCGTTTGGTGTATAGTGGTACCCAACTGTGAAAGTTAGTCAGCTGTCCGTTCCACGTCGATTTTCTGTGGATAGATCTTCTCAGTGTTCCATCCTGTTCTCTTCTGGTTAGTTGGACGTCAAGAAAAGATATTGTGGAGTTGGACTCTTTCACCATCGTGAACTGAATTGCAGGATGGCAGTTGTTAAACGACTTTAAGATGTCGTCTAGATTTTCTTCGTTGTTGACGATGATGAAGGTGTCGTCGACGTATCTTTTATAGATTTCGAAGGTATTGATCATTTTCTTCAGGCATGTGTTTTCGAGTTTCGCCATGAAGAAATCTGCAAGCAAAGGGCCTAGTGGTGAGCCCATAGCTATATCATCCTTTTGGAGATATATTTCGTTGTTGAAAGAGAATTGAACATTCAGGGTACACCTCAGTAGGAGTTCTTTAAGATGCTCGGTGGGTATACCGATGTTTATTCCTTTGGAGTGAATAAGTTCGCATATATAGCATATTGTTTCAGTCAGTGGAACGTTTGTGAATAGTGATGTGACATCTAATGAAATCATTGTCTTGCTGGTTACGTTAATGTTTTCGATTGAGTCAATAAAGTCGAATGAATCTCGAGCTGTGTGGCAGGAAACTTGTTTTCTGATTGGTTCAGGTAGATCTGCTAACCATTGAACTGTGCGGTGATAGGGTGAATTGGTCATGTCGAGGATCGGTCGGAGAGGGATACCCTTCTTGTGTACTTTCGGGAGTCCGTAAAGTCGTGGTATATTTGAGCCAGACGGTCTAAGGGATTCGAACATTTCGTTGCTGATGAAGGATTCAGTCTTCAACTTACGAAGGGCGTCCGTTAGTTTTTGTTCGGTCTGTTCAGTTATGTTTTTCCCGTTGATCGGTTTTGTGAATTTGCATTCATCGGATAGTATAGTCAGCATTTTACTAATATAGTCCTTGCGATTCATGATTACGATTCCTCCACCTTTATCAGGACGTAATATCTTAATCTCTTCGTTTTTCATAAGTTCTTTCGGCTCCTTATGGTGCCTCTTCGTTAGGATGGACCTTCCGTTGTGTTTGGTATTTATAAACTTGTGACAACAGTCGAGGATTGATGCTTTGAATTGTTGTAGGTTTTCGTCTGATGTAGGTGTGAGATCGTACGTTTGGTTTATTAGATTTTCGAACTGAACCTGGCATTGTAGCTTGTCAATACTTGGTGGTTTTACGCAGAATTTTGGACCTAGAGATAGTGCCTCTAGTCAAATAGTACAAATGCATGTTCGCTGATGACTAACTGCAGTTCTAACTGTATATGCTGTATGAGAAGAAGGTGGTGCATTAGAAGGCAATTCATTCGTGATTTTTTCCCGTCTCCCTCTAGTGTGCATCGCTTTTGATGCATGTATGGTAGCTTTTCCGTTTTGGGTTGGTAACCCCAGCTTGTCACCACTACTGAAACCTTGACGCTCGAAGTGCTGTGTTCCACTTGGAACCGAAGGAATAAAAAGTGAATTATTCGAAAGAAATGGAAAAGTTGTTGAGGTTGTCTGAGCTCCGAGAGCTGCCACCATCTGATGTCCTACAGATCACAAGACACTGTTTTTTTAAGCCTAAAGATGAATGTCATTGAATATTTATTTTTTAGAATTAATAAAGAAATTTAACGCTTTCCACAAAATACATTTAGTCAATTTGTAAACTAAACATTTCAGCGTAAAAGTTGACCACTTTTTCTGTTGAAAACTTTAATCTAATTATTTGACCTGTATTACACCCCACATAGCGCCAAGAAAAGTGTAGGTAAAACCATCAAGGGTTCTATATTAGATCACCTCGTTCAAACAGACCATTATTATTATTATCTATGGAATAGTGAATAAATTGCCAAAGGTCTCTTATTCCCTAACATTTCAGATATAGAACTTACCTAAATACAAAAAGTCATCTTCAAATTAGAAAATATTAAAACCTACTGTGATAATGAATCATATAACCAAGTTAATACAGTTTCAGAATGCTTAATTTTGTCTTAATTTAAGTATAAACTATCAGCCGTAAATTTCGCTTGGACACATCAGTATTAGTATATCTTAGGCAAGATGAACCTTTATTCATCTGAAATCAGTCTAGAATTCTGCTGCATTAAGCGTAAAGGCCGAGATTCAGATTTTCAACACTAGTGGTAATTTGAATGAATGCACAAATATGAATGAATGCAACTTTAGTAAACTAGTCAAGTAATCATTGTCACGCTTGATGAACTCGTTGATCAATACTCAGCAGTTCAACTTTTCCTTCAAATCTAAGTATCATGGTTTCAATTACGAACTTTCTAAAACACCTATTAATCGAGTCAGTCTTCAATACTGAACATGACTGACCTAGGGAGCATTGTATTAAATTGGTATAATTTTAAGTTGAAAATTTCTAAACTTGTAAGATTCAATCACCCTAAAAGTAGTTAGAGTTCGATCCCCAGTTAAATCACTTCTAAACCTAGCTTAGCCAGTAGTAAGCACAGTAAGGTAGGATGGTTGGGTGTGTGAGGAAAGCAATCCTACTACTACGTAAAAGAATAAACACCAATGCCACTGGAACTTGAAAGCAAGAAATCTGAAGGCCCATATTCCAATTGGAATGCAAAGGAATAAAATAAATACAATAACAAAAAATACCCATGGTGTTTTATGAAACACTTCAGTTATTTGTCAGCTGTCATAAGAAAAGGCTTCGATTAAGGTAGAAGAGAAGTAATAAATTTTTAAGGCTTGTCAAACACTACAGAGAGGTACACACACACACACACACAGAAAACTGTCATTATCATTATTTGAGTAGAACTACTGAAATTTTACCAAACCTAACTACTACTACTAATCTACTACTATTTTCAAGTAGAAAATGAGTAGTATGAATCACATGTTGCCTAAATGTGAGTTATTGTTTACCAACTAGTCAGTTTTCTCTTGAAATAAGATTTAAATTCTTTCTCTTCTCTATCTTATGTGCATATGCATAAACTGCAATGAAAAATCTTTAGTTATTTAAGCACATAAAATAGATGTTCTGGTTGCCTAAATCTGTAGAGAACACGTCAACCTTAACAGAAACGCCATACATTCGCACACACACACACCCATACATACATACACCCACCCACATCATGTACACATTTTACTCGCACACACATACACATATGGTGGTACATAATGATGCGTTTACACATGAAAGTATGTAAAATGCTTTTTCTGCATAACTATTCACATCTTTCTATTTTTATCATTGTAATTATTATTTTTATTGTTGTTTCACAATCAATGACCCTCCCAAAATTGATTGATTAATCAGGTCTATTCATATACAGAAGTGAGAACATATACATATATATATGCGAAACGAAAAGTTTGAGAATGTAATAAAAACGGATTGCACAAAGGTAGGTCGAATAACCGGTTTTTTCTGCCCTCATTTTGGATGTCGTGATTCAAAAGGAAACTACTATTTTAGTCTAAAATGCATGATGTTGATTCAGTGAAGTTTTAAGATGGGAAACTGTTTATTTTGAGTTAGTTTATAGGGATTTTAACTGTTTGACGTTTGATCGTAGATTGATATCAATTAGAGAATCATTAGTGAAAACCACCAAGGACTACTGGACAGCACTCACTGATGATCTTACCCATCAAGGAGCGAATCCAGAACCTTCAGATTACGAAGCAAAGCTCGGTGACCATTTAGCCAATTGGGCTGGAATTCGATGAACCGTGGATAATAATTTCTAACAATTCACGATCTTTCTAGAGCGACTGCAAAACTGATGTCATTGGCCAGTGTTTGTCTTCACACCTGACCTTGTGGAATGTGATTATCTTATTGCATTTCATACACTTTAATAATATTTTGTGTGTCTGTGTGTGATTATTCACAGCTGAGATATAGAAAATGTCGTCCGGATGTCACCACTTCTGTCAGACGAGATGTATAAACTATTCATTCATGTAAGGATGACTATACTGTTTCATTAACGGTAAAAGTCACTGGCTATTTAACATAATAGATGTAACAATTTACACTCTTTGATATAATCATAATTCAAGGGAGGATATAGTGAAAATATAAAGTATGGAGCAAATGAAGAGAAAAATTAATGCGGTCACTAATTTCTATTGCCTAAAGCGACTTAAACATACTTCATACATATCTGTTCATCGACCACATTAGGTAGCGTTAGGGAGAAAGAAACTGAAGTGTTACCTAACTGAAATATGCTATCTATCCGCGAAATCACGACGTTTGATGTGAAGCAGAGCTTAGCTTGTCTACTTTAGAACACTGATGCAACAAGTGTTTAGAGACTTGAGGCAACGTGGCGGTTAATCAGTTTCAGTGACGATGATTCATTTTGAAATTAATTCAGTTTAATTACGAAAGTCGACTAACAATAGGCAAAGAATCACTGAAAACCAGTAGGTTCTGGATAACTTTTTCGCCCTATCTTTGGACCATTCAGTACTGCGCAACCAAGATGCCAACAGATATTATAGCCAACATCTGAAAGTTATTCAGTGAGGATATTCCTATTCATCACTGGATCGTACATGATAAACAACTTTCTGCTCATTACTTCAAGATAACTAATTCACTACAATAGATTTTTGTGTTATCAGTTAAAAAATTAATTGCGCTTAACCTATCAGACTATGCAGTTCTGTATCCACAGAATACTCACCAAAAGTGATCGTGTCCCAAGGTCCGATTCCCGGTCGACTAACCCATAAGCCTTACATAGTGCATAGTAAGTCTGGGAAAGAGGGGAGGTTGGACGTGAGACCTCGTGACAAAGACAACACTATACCGCTGAAACCTGAAGTTTTCAAGACCTGAGTCCTATGGCCCACTCGTAAGCAGAGGGGTGAAGAAAACATTCACAGAAGCTAGAAATATCTGTTTACTTATTATCTACAAACCAAATAATTGATACTAAGCTATTTTTCTCTCACTGTATCCAGTATATCAAGATGAGGATTATCAATAATACACATATTTAGTCATTGACCTTATTTTAACCATCATGAAAACATCTAACACCATTCAGTAAGAATACTTTTAATCTATACATGAAGAACAACAAGTCAATGGGGAAACATTTCCCCAACCGATAAAATCTTCATAGTTGTATTTATATTTACTAAAACGGTATGACAGACAATTATTGATTTATACAAACTCTGATCAGGATTTGATGGAATAGTTCGCACAAATATTGATCTTCTTCATCTTTGGTGAACTACCATTCCATTAATCTTACTTAAGAAATCGATATTATGAAAAGAAAACAATATTGTTAGTGATGACTACTCCAGAATATTCTCTCTCTCTCTCTATATATATATATATAAACACATATAATTGTAGAGCCATAAAAGGAATTTATCGAAAAGGATATTCTTTGCTTAATTTTTTCGTTTTTTTCTAGATGTCTGAGTGAATATTTTCACCTTAGTGAAATAATTGTGTTCTCTGAGTTGGTTGATTTAATTGCGATACTTTTGTCGTCCTTCTAGACAATATCTTCATCTGAGCTTTTAGTATAAAACGAACTTATTTGAATTCTCCATGACTGATGTAATTGTATCTCCTAGCAACTATTGTCGTGACTGGTTGTTAATTTACGTCTCTGTTAATCATTTATATTACTGACTTGGAATTCGAACTTTCTTGTTATGTGATTCACTTTTTATTAGTTGGTAAATTTGGTCTATAGTAATGCATTTGTTAATCGCTGGCTGATTCACTTGAGTACCAGGCTTGTAGGAATTTCCTGATGGCATTTTCTTAACTTTTATCTCACAGTGATTAGATAATACAGTGTTTGGGTTTATAATAAATTGTCAAGCTCAGATTAAAACATACATTTATTTATAGCTCAGCATGGTATTGATAATAAAATTAATAGTACAAATAAAGATGATATTAACAGTTATCCAGTGTCACCGGGATAGGAAACTGTTCTAAGCAAGCTCATGACCGTCTTCTTGAAAATCGTCAAACGTGGTTAGGAAAATGAATCATAACGTCAATTAGGCGTCTCATGTGAGTACACCCGGTGGATATGGTTATTGCATATTTTATTCTAAGTTCCACAATTCACTATAAAACCAAACACTGTATTACCTAATCGCTATGAGGTGAAAGTTATTTTCCCTTCTACCCTTACATGTTTACACATTCTATTTACATATTCATAGCTGGTGACTACCAAGATTATATGAACACCTACGTGAATTTATCCTTGTGGTTATTTATCATGATCACCTGGATTATTATCCAGTAATTCATATACCTAATCTGTAATCCTATTAAGCACATTTGTTTCAGAGGTCTATGATTAATATTTCATTATGTGATTGTAAAGCCTGAGAAGAAATTACCGAAAATACGTATTTACTTGAATTTTGTCCTAAACTCCGAAATAATTATTTAATAATATCTGAAAGTCGATTCTTATGATGTGATTTACTCGTTATATAGAAATTATCCAGTAAATATATCTTAAGTAGCGATGATCTTTTCGAACTGCGGGGGATCTTTTTTCTCCTCTTGAAAACCATGTCGGTCATTACAATGGTTGCCTTCACCATACTTTGGAATCAACTAGATTCTGTTTGCAGTTTACATAGCTCGAGGTGAAATTCCACTAAAGTTTTGCTTGAAAACCGAAACTATTCATTTTATAGTAGATGCTCTGCTTGATACCATTAACAGAAATCAAGAGAGCAAGGACAAATGCACAGCTCTATCTACTACTGATTGACTGATATGATTGGATAATTGGATTCCACTTACATTACCGACTGCTAGTGCTTGTTGTATTTTCTAATATTAGTTGCACATTTCAACGAATTATATTTTCTGTTCCCCGGTTCAATTGAATTCTGATTGTATTTAAAAAATTTAGCTTTCGAGTTCCTTTAAATTAACTACCTAGTTCATCTTCATTTTCTATTTTACAAACGACGAAATGAAAATAGCACACCTATTTTTCTGATTTCAAACACGAATTGAAGTATGTGTAATTTATCCTGAGAAATATAATTTAACCGTATATATAATTCTACCCCTCTAAAGCTCGAAGAAACCATATGTTAATAATTTTTCAGTTGTGCACTGAAAAAGACTGTGAGCTTTAAATCATTACATTTTGTATAACCAGTAGTTTGTTTATAAGGTCAGATAATAAATAGTCATTTAAATACTCATAATTTTGTGATATTTTATACCCCTTGGATATGGGTCGTTATTTCTTTTATCTGCGTGGTTATTTATTACGGTGTAGTAAACGTATATCGTAAAACTATGATACCTAATATTCATCTAAAAAATAGTTACTCTGTAGTTCTATAGGCTCTACTGGTGGCCCCTCGATATTCCTAGATTAAAGACTCGCAGTTGCCTGTTTGGTGGTGGCTAGCAGCGTCGAATTCAGGATGCGCATTTCTTCCTTTTTGAGAGTCGTCAGCTTCAGAACCACCAGCATGTTTCATTGCATCCTTTACTATGGACGTAGAATCTTCAAGTAAATCAATGATCGGTCATGTATTATCTGAAGCTATATTATTCTATCCAAAGCACCCTATAATAAATAACCTATTATGTGTCTTCTCCTCCCTTTCTTTAAAAAAATCCCTGGTGATAGGTTGAATCCTATTTGGAAACAAATGTGAGTACATATTGCTATTCAGAGATGTAATAGGATAATTAATAAAACATCATGAAATTCAGTAAATAAGAAACATCTGGATGCATAGAAAATTAGACAACCCATTGACATACGCAGACCACCAAGAGTCCAAGAGTATGTACAGCTGATTAATATATGAGAAATAACACCAGTTCAGTGAATATAAGTCTACAACACACTATTTCGTATCCTAGTGACACCGGGAGATGTAATAGGTAGGTAATTCCGGTTGAGGAATTAATGTAAATTTTTAGTCTAATTGCTATTCAAGCCACATGTGAAAATCGTTGGACCCTGAACCAGGCTTTAATTTTTTTTCTGTTTTCCACCCTTTGAGTTTCAGCGGAAACATAATGCTCCAAACTTTTAAGTTTCAGTAACAATGTTGTTTTTGCAGGACATGGGTGCTAACCTCACCTTGCCTAACCTTCCTTCTTTTCTGGGCTTACTACCAGCTTGGCAAAGTTAATTAGTGTATCTATGAGGAATCGAAACCAGATCATGTGCGATGCTAACGATCACTCTAGAAATGCATCGTCGACTTCTTAAACTCTTGTTATATAAAAAAGAATCATTCACAGAAATGAATTTGAGTTATCTAATCATCTGGGATCATATCCCTCTAAAAGCAAAATTTTTCCTGAATTTTAGTTTACTTCATTTACGAAAAATGACGACTTTACGGAAATTCAACTATCCAATAATAACAAAGTGTGACTTGTGGAAAGAGAACTATTTTGGAAAAGAGGTAAGTTCCGTCGAAAACAGTCAGTCACACACGTATTCACATACCCAGTGTACTGATTCAGCGGGATATGAAAAATGTTCATTAATATACGGTTCACAGTATCCAGTATCTTCAGATTTTAACCTGTTCTGTGTATTTATAATTCACTTGAAGAACGAACGTTTAAGTACCCAAAAATAATATTTTTGAAAGAAAAATTAAACTCTCAGAAATATTCACATCATGGCATGCATCAGACCTGATTACTATAATCTGATCTAATCATTAAATAATGTTCTTTCTTTTCAGTATTGTCTACCTTTTTTATGCATGACTATAGACTCTCTACAAGTAATTCATAAACTTTGAAAGGGTATCATATCACTTACTACATACCTTTCAGTTGTTCAATTTAGAAAACCTGACTTTATATGCAAATATATATATATATATATACGACTAGGTATCTTATACAGTGTTTCATCTAATTTATTTTCACTTTACTCCTTAAGAAACAAACCGATATCTTCTTATTTCAGGACTTAGAATGCTTACCATGTGAAGGCATCATTCAAAACTGTCCGCATAAACGACCTGCTACGCCAAAATGAACCTGTTTTTGACTTTAAATCATAGGAATGCAGCTCCTGACACGACTTCACTGTCTTGCGGATCAGACTTCAAGTTATAAGCTCGCAAAGGGGGGTGAGTGGTCCCTTAAAACAACCACCTGCTTAGGTGGGAGCATCCGGACAGCATTCCCGCCCTCACTCAAACTATGAGATTGTGTATGGCTCATCTCTTGGTGCTCATAATGTATCAAGTTTGTATTTTAATAATAATAACAATTATATGATCATACAAAGGAATCAAGGGAAGTGTGAGTTTAAAAAATTCAGTCCCTCCCCTGTTACAAATGAGACTCGAATGCAGCAGCCACCATCGTAAGCAACGCACAAATGTCAACTAAATTAGTAGAAAAACATGACTGGATCTTTTGTATGATTTATTTTTTAAGTAACATTGCTGGAGTTTCTGATTTTCATGCTGCTGCTTATTCCTTGAATCCTTCTCCAGACAAAAGATGTTACTTCTCCACCTCGATTTAGCCGTAATTATCATCTTTTCGTTACTTATTTAGCATTTTGAGTCAATTCAGTGGTTATAATGATAGTATACACCACTGACTGAGTCTTATGAGAAGTTGGGAGACACCCACATCAACTATTAGTGCTTGTTAGTCATACTGAATGGATATCTAAACACCGGAGAGTCATTTTACTTGTTTACAGCCAAGCTCGTCATGAGTGTGTACCCAGTTCAACTTAGCTCAAATAACCTTATCAGCTCGAACCGCCTAAATCTTGACAAGCTAAGTGGGTGAACTGGTAATTTACACTGAATCATATTCATCATTTGCACTTCTTAATTTAAAGTTACACATATCATGAATTCTACCAATAAGTAAATTCACACTTCCGTTTCCTTTATCAATTTGATTTCCCCATTAAGGTACATGATCCCTATCGATGGTTAGAAAATGAATACTCGACAGAAGTACAACAATTTCTCAGATCACAAATGAATTTATCAGAAGATTTTCTTAAAAGATGTCCATATAAAGAGGAATTTTACAGTTAGTAAGTTTAAATATGGGATTTAAAGCGAATTTGATTAATTTCAATTATTGAATTTCGTCACAAACCAACGTAAGTTAGAGAGATCGTAGGAAGTCTCGGAGCACTGGAAAGCTGTTTCGTCAAGGTCCAAGGCTTTTCAGTGTCGTCCAGCATCTTGGAGGTTACTGGATGGATGTCCTGAAGCTGTTGTAGCCCAAAATTTCAAGATAAAGGGAATGGTCATGGATGGCATTGGTTGGCGATATCACTATATCACCAAATGACAAAGTCACAATTCATGCATCGTTGAATTCCAAGCGAAGTGGTTGAATCTTCAATGGGCCTGGTCCTGTAAATTAGAGGTACACGTTTCGATCCTTGTTGGGTGGAATCGTGGGTACCGACTGATGAAGACTCCCAAGGTGGGACAAAACATTTATCTAGTGTACCCTCTTTTCTAATTTGCTCTATAAATGATGTTGGTTGGTGACGAAGTCTAATAAATGCAGTTAGTAAATTACTTTGGATTAAATAAATATTTATCATCATACTCCTTTCTCTCTCTCTCTTTTCTTTTGAATCAATATTCATTAGTTTACAGTCACTGTGTGAATTCGATCAGTTCACTTGTCCAGTAATTCGTGGTTCCAATTATTTTTATTGTTTTAAACCACCACATTCGAGAAATGTGTAAGTTTTGAAATATCACACAAAAAACATTATACCCAAATAACCTATACTCAATTAATATAGCGTTCTAGAAGTTATACGTGAGAAAACAAATTTCCCAGAAATTGTCTTGGATTCTACATGTGTTGGCTTAGATAATTCTGAAAAGGTGACCGCATTTAACATCTCCAACTGTGGAACATACTTATGCTATGAGGTTGTAAATTCATCTGTAGGATGGTATAAATTGAATGTAAGTTATCAGTACGAATGTATGCGTATGTGTCTACCTTTATTTGATGTCTTGATTTCTATTTATTGTGTGAACATTTTCTGAACACGTGTGAAATGAACATTCCCTGATTTGAAAATATAAAACATCTCTGCAGTAAAAAATAAGAATAGATGGACAAATTATCAAATCAGCTATGTATATTCTTTTAATCAAACTCAAATTTAAAAAAAAACTCGCTGTAGATTTCCTCACGGACCAATATCAGTTACAGAGTTCATTGAAAACCAGCCAGTGCTGAATAAATGTTTCGCTCTAGCTTACGACTCTTCAGCAATGCAACCTCTAGGTCACGATACCAGGCCTGCATACTTACTATTAAATCACTTCAGCTGGAATTATATAACCGTTGAATTCCAGCTTTGTAGGTTCGTGAGATTAGCATCAATGCACACCACTGCCTTCGATGAGTGTCCACTTCACCTTGGCATGTTTGACTCCACTGGTTACGATCTCTTAGTACAGTAGACATTAGTAATCTGGACATCGATATCTAAATTATGACGTCTTTGATAATCTCTGACTGGCGTTAATTCCTAACGAAATCTACATTGAAATAAATCTAACTCCCAACAAAAAACCTATGATCTAAATACCATGTATCAATGAATGACGATTAGTTAACGATAATTAGAAGAAAACAACGTTTAACAATATCCATCATAAATTGCAAACAAAGAATGATATTTTCGACAGTCTCTTCTTTGAAGAAAGCAAAAAGAACAGCTTGTGCGAAAATAAAATAATACCATCATGTATTTTCTCTTCTCCACGCCGAGTAAAATACTGAGGCGCGTCATCCTGGAAAGCATAAAGGATGCACTGAATGCAGAACTTTTCCCCTCTCTCCGAAACAACCTGAATTCAGGTTGCAACTCTACTCATCGTAGTCATCGAACAAAGCATAGAATGGCAGTCAAACCCCTACCTCAACTTCCTTCATCGACTTCGAAAAGGACTTCGACAGACAGCATTGACCGAGAAGTAATTTGGAAACTGATTTAACACTACGGCGTGCAATGCCCAAAGCTTTATCAACCTCATACAACAACTGGCTACATGACAGTGCCACGTATCAAGTAATCCACGACGGAAAACTCAGCAAGACGTTCGAAGTGAATACAGGTGTAAGACAAGGCCGTCTGCCTATTATCACCCAAGATGATATTCTTAATTGTGGAGGACTGAACTGTGCATCAGACTGTGCGTGGGGAGTGTGGAGACAGGAATAAGTGGGACTGACCCATAACAAGACTCCAGAAGATCTGGATTTCGCGTGTGGATGATTCATGTTTAACGTCACACAAACTCGAAGACTTGCAGGCAAAAACCAACAAACTGGCGGAATAGGCGAGACAGCCAGCGAAGATAGGACTGTAGGGGAACATAGAGAAGGTGGAGACGGAGGTGATGAAGATAACCAACTAACAGCAACAACAACTATCACCAGTCACCATCAACACGAGAGATTTGACAGAGGCTACTTCCCGGCTTCACTTATTATCTAGGAAGTATGGTTTCACTCAAAGGCAGCTGGAGCGGATGAAGATGTCAAAGCCAGCCAGCCAGCCAGCCAGCTAGCCAGAATCAGAAAAGTGAGATACGCCTCCATCAACCTGAAATCAGCTTGTAAATATTCTGCACTGCACTCAGCCAGCATAAACAACAAGATTCGGGTTCTGTTCGACACAAATGTGAAGTCAGTCAGTCAGTCAGTCACTGCTTCGATATGGGTCAGAAACTTGCACTGTGCGTCCTGAAGAGGATTTCTGACGAGTTACAGTCTTTCATCAACAGATGGCCACTTCACTAGCTCCACACGGAAGATCAAATGGCCAGAATGGATTAGTAAGAAGAAACTCTGGAAGGTGACAAGCCAACCAATAGCTAATTGCTCAACAAATCTGTAGGAGAGAATGGAGATGGATCGGGCAAGCGTTGAGGAGGCCGTCGAATGACATCGCGCGCAATGCAGGCCATCGCTCGAGTGGAATCCCAATGGGAAGCAACGAGTGGGTCGTCAGTGCGAAGGTGATATGGAGATCGTTTGGGGAGTAGGAGATGAGAGATTATGGGCAGTCGTGGGGCCAGCTGAAGAGGATAGCAGAAAATAGAAGACAGTGGAGATGTGTTGTTGAAGTCCTATGTTCCAACCGGAACCCAAGTGAATAATAATAATAATTTATTTTTTGTCGGTTATCGTTCAGGTGCCAGAAACCTAGAAATTAATCGAATATATGTGCAGAGAAATATTTAACGTACTTGCATATGTGACATAATGTTAGTAAATGGGAGATTTCAAACTTGATTCGCAGTTCTCAAGATTTACACTAGTAATACTTATGCACAGTGGGTTGAATCCTAAACAAAGTAATCAAAAAATAAAGACTTGGATACACTGTAGAAGAAGCCACGTGATAAAAGCAAGAAGGGGGATAATTTGCTGATGATTTAGTGACTAATAAGTCACGTTGTAACAACAGAAGACAAGGGCCAGGCAACAGATCGTTTATTAAGGAAAATCAACACATATTTATAGATTTTAATGTGCATTATTGTAGATTATTGTTAGTAGAAAATACAGTCTTTTGATTGGTTGTTTCTCACAGAAAGTTAACCTTGCATCTCTTTGTGGCTGTGGCAGATCATCCATATGCTAACTGTACCCGCCTACGCAAAGCCTTTGTTCTCATTTTCTCACCACCAGTTTGGGGACATAAACACTGATGTCAATTACTGTCTACTAACTTTGGCTAGCAGCCAGCTCTCACCACAATGTAACACTATGGTGAAAACCTTTCAAATCATAAAAACAGAAGTTTGTATCAAAATAACTCTACAGTAAAAGGGAAGAGGTGAAAGTCAAAAGATTATGTGATCAAATGAAAGGCAGAGTTAAGACATTTGGTTACCAGGACAGGAAAAGACTGACAACAACTTCTTTTTAAACACGCATATCGGATTTTAGACATTTGACAAAAGTTTCTCTGGCAAACTTCAGAAGAACTGAATTATACTGCCTATTGATAATTTTAAAGGATTACAGGTTATCCAACTCATCATGACCAGTACCGACGAGATGGTATTTGTAAAGCCACGCATTTGACGATTGCAGAATTCATTATGAAATACAAATAAGGTGGTAGGTAATTACCAATAAGAAATATGAAAGTATAATACTGTAACACTATTCGCTTTCAGAAAACAGTATTTCATACTTATTATTTTACAGTAGACTCTTAAAATGAAAACTATTCAAAAATAATGAGAATTGTTAGCGGATAAATGGATATTTTTCATTTGTTGATTTGACCTTCTTATCCCAGTTTTATCCTTTTTTCAAAATATTTTTTTTATTAGTTTAGGAACATTAAAACAGATAATGAACTTTCAGATTGCATAAAGTTATTTACAAAAACTTCACTCACATGGTCTTCAGATAATAAAGGAATATATTATATCTATTGTATACCAACCAATCCACCAGAGGAACAAGTACATGCTTTAATGCAAAATTATTTATTGTATATATATTATCATAAATTGGGTGATGAACAATCAAAGGATATAGTAATTTGGAATTATGAAATGTCTAGACCAAATTTAATGTAAGTAAATTCGCTCATTATCTATTATTATTATTACGTAATATATATATATATAAATTCGAACACTCATGTTGTTTCTGATTCTGGTGAACTGGATTATACGGCAGACTGTGGGTAACATGAAGACAGGAATACAGGGAAGTGACAAGAAGACTCTAGAAGATTTTGACCTCACAGACGATTTATGTCAAACTCGGAAATATACGGGCGAAAATCAATAAGCTGGTAAAAGAAGCAGAAGGCGAAGATGGGACTTCAAGTTAAACTTAGAAATAATCAGCCAGCGACAACAAGCATCAGTCAGTGTCAACAACAGAAATTCACCTATCTAGGTAGTATAGTTTCAGCTGTCTGTCTGTCTGTATTCGACACAGAACTTTGCACATATGTGCGGCAGTTCGAGTCGCCACACTCCATGTAGCACAAAAAGCAAGAGAAGAAATTAGAAGAAATGCATAGTATAGACAGTAAACAGAGGTGAGAGACAAAGGAATAGTAGTAACGAAGAACAAAACAGTTTAATTGGAAATCATAAGTCACAAGGAGTGTACGCATCTGCGTCATTGAGAACGATTTTGAACCACATCACCGATTGTTTCCAGCCATTGGTTTTTACCGTCCCGAGGACCCCAACCAGGAAGCCAGTCTACACCTCCCTACGTGGCTTAAACTAACTGTTGTAGATTTCATTGACCGGTGCCATGTTTCCGTTTGACCACCGCTAGCTGTTTTCCAGCCTGACCCTATGTCAGCTAACATTGCCCATTGTCGAGGAAGGCGATGGCTAGCGATACGTAACACATGTCCTAACCATCTATCTCAATCGATGTAATTTCACAGTCATGTTGTTTGATTTCCCCTCCTTACCTAGCACTCGGCCGACGCCTGACCTCAATATTGCTCACCTTATTATACCGCTTCACGCGGGAGATAGAACGCAGACACCTATGATCAAAGACAGCTAGCCTTTTCATGTCTTCCACTCTCGATGGCCAGGTCTCACAGCCAGCCATAAAGGAGGACGGAGCGGACTGTTGAGCAGTACACACGCCCTTTGGTTGATAGCTAGCCAGATATCACGTCTGCGCCAGAGACGGCGTAAACTGGCATATGCGAAACGAGCCTTCTGTATCCGTGCTGAGATTTTTTCAGCGGTCAACCCGTTGGAGCTGATGCCACTTCACTCCCTATTTCTAAGCTAGGAGTCAATGTCGTCCAGTCCTGTAGCATCATCTTACATTTGACGGGAGCGAATGACGTGCCAAACAATCGAAGACTGCAGCTCAAGGTGTTCAGAAGACTCTGCATTTTGTCATCGTCTTCACTTAGAAGGATTATATCGTCTGCATATTCTAAGTCAATGAGATTATTCCCTAGTAACAAGTCAATCGCTGAGTCGCTGTAGTCCGTTAGACTTAATTCCAGCAGTACATCTATGATGAAGTTGAATAGAAATGGGGATGACGGGCATCCTTGACGGACGCCACTAGCCGTCACCACTTCAGATGACAACTCACGGTAAGCCCTCACCTGACTGGCTGCGTGAGTTCGAGTAGAGTGCCTTAATCAGTGCAATGTATTTTCTCGGCATTCTCTTTGCAGCCAAGCATCTTCAGAGTAACTCTAGGTCGACAGAGTCGAATACCGCCTTTAGGTCTAGAAATATGATGGTGGTTGGACGCCAGTAAGTATGCCTATGCTCTAGAACCTGTAGAAGGGTGAAGATATGATCAACACACCCTCTTCATGGTCTAAAGCCTGCCTGGTTATCTGGTGTTTATGCCTTCCGAGCACCACTTAGTCTACACAATATTATTGAGCCTAGGACTTTGGATACCGTATTAATCAAGCTAATCCCTCTGTGATTATCACAGGAAGACTTGTCTCCCTTCTTGTATATCGGGATGATCAGTAACTTACACCAACCCAACGAGACTTCCTCTTATTCCTGGACGCTTCCTAGTACCTCAGCTAATGCAGACAATAAAATGTTTCCGCCATCCTTAATTACCTCTGTGGCCATTCCATCAGGTCCTCTTGCTTTGCCTCTTTTCAGATTAGTGATAGCTTTAGTAGCCTCGTTTAGGGACGGTGGACCTTCGTCTATATCCCATTCAGATAGGTGTTGGATGTTCGGTTAGTTAAGCTTGGCTGTAGGCCAGTTAAACTGCTCCTCGTAGAGCTCTTTCCAGCGTTCCAGTCGTCTATCCTTGGAGCCAATTATGGTGCCATTTTTCTCAGAGATTGTTTCACTTATCATTTGCCTTTTACCACCTGTTTTCCTGATGAGCCTATGTGTTGTCTGGTGTTATCAGTCGCCGACGCCTTTTCCATCTCTATCGCTTTTGTCACGCACCACTGTTCACGGTCGTCACGAGGACTTCTTGTTATTTTTTGTTTGAGTACCTTTCGCTCCTCATCATAATTGGAGCTCGCTAGAATCAGTCTTCTCGCGTCAATCAATTCGGACGTGGCGGTGTAGATTCAATGGCTCTCATTAACTTTTGTTTTTAGGTTATTAACAGCTTTTACAGATGTGTCTACAGCTAACTGTATGTTGTGCCAGGCTACCTCAGGGGAAGTCCTGCTGTCAACCTCTGATTCACGTTTCGCGATTTCTTCTTTAAATAGGGGCTCAGTGTCTCGATCTAGTTGGGGACGTAACTGTTTCGCTGTCAGCGATTTCGTTTGTCCATTTATTCGCAAGCATAATCTTGTGCGGACCATAGCGATATCAGAGTCTACGCACGTGTTCCAGAAGGAGCGACGGCCTTCTACAGAAACTCGCCAACGATACCCTATGGCTATGTGGTCTATCTGAGTCCAGCGTTGATTTGGTGATGGAGGTCGCCAGATTACCCAATGTCTCTCTTTATGCCTAAAGACAGTGCTGACTAGGAACAGATGATTATCTGAGCAGAACTGTAGGAAATGATCACCGTTGTGGGTTCCTCGGCAGGGAACTCCAAACGTACCACCTGCATACTTCTCAGTCTGGCACAACTTCCCTACTTGGGCATTGAAGTCGCCTGCTAAAACAACTACATCTGAACGTTTTGCTTTTTGCAGCAAATTAGACAGTTTCAGATAGAAGTCATGCTTTAGTTATTCCGAACTGCAGTCTGTTGGGGCGTAAGCGGAGAGTACGAAAAGACAACGACGGGTAGCGCCGTCTTTCCTTCTTTTAACGGACCCATTCAGACAGACCGCACACTTACGACTATCTACTGGGATCCAGTCAAACAGTGATTCTTCCGCTGTAACACTCAGTGCTATTCCTACACCTGCGAGTCCTCGTGAACGAGCTGAGGGGTCTCCTGACACCCTTAAAGTGAATTTCGCAGATTCACCTTGTTGGCCGGGTGAAGTTAAATGAATGACCACACTCGGGTCTTTTATGCGTGTTTCCGAAGCACAACATACATCTATGGCTCGAGATGCCAGAGTTCTTGCCAGTGATACCCATTGTCCGATTTGGCAGATGGTCCTGACGTTAAAAGCTCCTATATGAAGTTGGCGACGTGGCTTTAAGAGGCTATCTGGGGTGTTTGTATGGCTCTCTGCTTTGCTTGTGGACCCAGAGTGAAGTGAAGATGACCCACTAGCCTGCAGAATAATGCTAACTGTAGTAGAGAAGCAAGATGGGGAAGGTGATGTGAGTTAGGGAGAGTGATGCTCAGATAGGCTTCGTGTGCTTTTGGAAGTGTGTGGGTGGTTGTTACTTCCCGGCTGCCCACACCGTGGAAGTTGGTTGAGTCTTCGGGTACCTGAAATAGAGAAAAGGTTAGTGTTGCGTGACCGCAGAGCCCAGGGGACAACTGCTTGAGGCCGGTCACACGCGTCCTGTTTTTGGTTGTTCTTTTTTGTTTGGTGTGTCTCAGTAGCATATTTACCACTTCTGCCCTGTGACACGGCAGCAGGAAGCGCGGTCGTTGTTAATCCGGTCCCCGACCGACCCGGCATGATATTTTGTGAATTTGTTTGAATCATAGTATTTGATTGGGTAGCTGCTTTTTGTCTAACCGCTATCCAAACAACCTTTCTGGCATGGTAGGACCTCAAGCGACATAAGTCTCAGTCAGTATAGCTTGAAGGGTCATTGCGGTGTTCAAGCCCGACCACCACGTCAAGGTAGCAGCTTTCAGTCGGGATAGTTTCAACTACAGACAGGCGATACGGATGAGAATGTCAAAAGCGCAGTCGGTATAGTAGGTCAGACCTTCATTGATCTGAAACCTACAGCACTTGACATAATGAAGATTTGGATTTTAAACACTCATGTCAAGTCAGTCGGTGCTTCAATATGGTTCAGACACTTGACGGACGTGTTACCAAAGGCAATTTCAACAAGATACTGTAGAATTTCTTCAGCAGCTGTCTTTGCTCCTTACTGATGATTAGATGTCGAGCCAGAAAGGAATAGCAACAAGGAAATCTGCCAAGCAACAGACCAAACAAGTACATATCGTCAAATAAAAAATCTCTGGACACACTTTGAGGACATCGTTGGTTAAAATCACGCGGAAGGTCGTCAAGTGGAACGTGAATAGGAAATTGGGCATGTATTCGAAGATGAGATGGATAAGATTTTGTGAACAGTAACCAATTGTTTATAGGCAATCGTGAAACTAGAGAATACAGTGAAATGGTGATGTGTTGTTGAAGCCCTATGTTGCACATAAAACACAAGGGACCAATTAAAAGGAGTAATTCTAACTACGTCCATTCTGAAACATCACCAAAAGTCTTCACCGGTGACTGAAGGGTAATTTGCGCTTTTTGTAACCTGAAGTTATTGAGTTCAATGCTCAGCGGAGGCGAGGCTTTGCCCTGCGAGAGTTTCAGACTTCTCAGGGAACAGCTATCCAGTGATCATTCCCTTTCGCTGATTCACTAAATGCCATTGTTTCGTGATTAGATCTATCAATAAAATATTATATTTTAATTATTTACTTATCATTCAATTGATTGGCAAGTCTTGTTTTGTTTAAATTAGATGATGATTGGTATCTTGACTCAATTAATGAACAGCTTTATTTAGTGTCCAGTGGAAGTACCCCTTACAGTCCTACCGGAGGTGACACGCGAGTTCGAATAATTCGTCGGCGAGGTCTTTAACTGCAGCACATGATTACCCACGTTCTAATCTCAGAAAGGAAAACAGTTCCTTCAGGATAGCAGATACGCCTTGATGACTGACTGGTGATTGACAACAAGCACAAAACCTAGGTCGAAAGCTTTCTGTAGACTACCTCCAACCATCTAACAACAATTCAGAGTGCATCGCAATGGTAAGACACCTAGAACAGTGGTCACATTGGAAACTTAACTGATAAAATTCAGTCTGTACCAATACCAAGGACTATACTCATGACATTAATTACAGCCTAGTGTAGAATCAAAGTTTTAATTGAGTTTAGAGTTTAATTTTAACTCCAACTTCGACAGTCAAAAAGTTTGTATGATTTAAAGTAGTTTCTATGTTGACTATTCTATTAACCTTGTTTAAAGGTTCTGCGAACTCAATGAAAATGGACGTTATTTACTGCTGAGTTTATACAACGAAAACTATACGCAAAATAAGTTGATATTCGGTGATCTTCAACATGAACGAGTCAAAACAAAAGGTAAGTTATCAGTCACCATGTGTGTTTATTCTTTGATACCAAAAAGTACTAATTTTTATACTGGAACTTTTCTATTTTATTTTATTTCAAGATACATGAAAGTGAATAGAATTTCTTATGTAATATTTCATACTGTTTGCTTCAGTCAGTAACGAAGTGAACTTTGTATTATGGAAGGCATTATTCATGTTCAGCTGAATGACCGATTAGAGTATTTATTTATGCATTCCTTTACGTTCCCAGTGGAACATAGGGCTTCAAGCTAGAGCTTAGAAGATTCTGTAGCAGTGGTGCTTATTTTTACGCTATGGGGTTGTTAGCCTCATGCCCAACCTTCCCTTTTTACTCGTCTTCTTTTTTACTGGTTTCGCTAGGTTAAGGAGCGCGTCGGATGGATATCGAACCCCTGTCTACATGCGTGGTTAGGGAGCATTCTACCACTGCGCCATCTACGCACGATTTGCATATAATTTTTCTCAAATATAAATCGAATGAATTTCGATGTTCAAAAGTATACGTAAAAGAACAATTCAGAAATAATAGAGATTTGTAGCTCAGGTGGATGATTTGCAATTAAAAGTGTTCTCTGAGCTGGTTGGTTTAGTCGCGAAGCTTTCGTCGTCCTTCCGGACAACATCTTCGTGCTAAATATGGCGCTGAAGATGTTGTCCGGAAGGACGACGAAAGCTTCGCCACTAAACCAACCAGCTCAGAGAACACTTTTAATTGCAAAACAATTCAGAAATGTTATTCTACGACTGTAGAAGCAAAGCACACATGAGAAGCTGAGAGATAGCAAGGAATGATGAATGAATCAATGTTAATCTAAATAATTATGAGTCACCTGATCAACAGTAATCAAACATTGATTGCTGACATACAGATGAACACAGACTGGTTTATGTGGCTGCTTAGATAACTGTTGTCAGACTGACCATTTGCAGCTCTCCTCCAAACTTTTCTCACTACACCTAACACCGTTCACTAAGACAGATAATAGCTTGAAAGACATAACACCTATCACAATCAGTTTAATTGATCCAGAGTCACCCTTTCAATGACTAGCTTGTATTTCTCATCTAACAATTTCTACATTCACCAATTGTTAATTGCTACAATTGTTTCACCCAACACGAGAGAATGAACTGGAGTAAGTAAGATCTGAAACGCTTTAGTCTCTCCTTATCTTCTATCTTAAACAGTACTGTCTCACAAATGTACGAAAGGAGAGAGGGAAATACGCAGCAGTCTACCGTTAGTAAACAGCTGAGTGGATTCGTAGCCTATGTGTCAGTAGGTACTACTATATACCTTACTGTTTTCACCTTGAAGATCCAGGGAAAATGGAAGACTCGATTTCATGTAGTAAGCTAACGCTTTTTCATTAGGAAAATCAAACACACACACAAACACATGAAATAAACATTTTTGTGACATTAAGTTATCTATTATGCTAATAAAATAATGATGTGAAATATAATAACACACTAATCCAGTGGTAATAAATTAATTGGTGGTCTGCTTGAATCACTGGGCTACCTGAATTTTCATCTAACAAAATACATCATATTTCTTCTGATTACTACTTTTTTAACCATTCAACTATATCTTTGAGTCACAAAATGTACTCACACGCATTTCCAACTGCTACTACAAATGCTACAACTGCTGCAACTTCAACTACAGATGGAACAACACTGTGTTACATGATATACTACTGACTGATGTTTTAATTGAAGATCCTGGATGAAGGGGAAATATTATGCAATAAATTCTGTATAGAGTGTAGACATATTCTTCAGAGTAAAAATGTCATGATTATTATTATTATTGTTATTAGTCCTTGAAAATTTATTAGTTTTATCTTGCATAATGCGGAATATCAGAGGGTGATCATCAAGCTACAGTTTCACTGATGAACACTGCTAATTCTAAGTAACTTCATTGACTGTTATGATTTTAACGCCTCTTTGAGTCCTTAAGTAATTCATTCACAAGAAAATGACCTGTCAATATTGAGTTTATATCTGATCAATTAGTTAGTGTGTAATAATAGAGTATTACAGTTTCAACAGAAAAAAGAACAGCCTATTGCCACTTGTATATTTAAAGTTAATGAGATAATTAAAATTTCTGATTGAATCCCTTTAAAATTCCCACCTGAGTTAAACGTTTTTCGAAAATGGAAAAACAGATAAAAATCATCATTTGTTAGTAAGGTAGTGCTAGTTTTGTAACAGCAGAAGGCAAGACACGGAATTTAAAGGTGTAATTTTTAACTGATGAAGCCACTATTTGTATACACAATTTATATTCTTTAACCAATCACTGAGCTTGTGATTTTTGTTTACATTAAATCTATAATCTATAATCTATAAAGTATAATATATATATATATATATATATATATATATAGATTATACTTTGATTCCACACTGTATTTTTGGCTCAAGTATGGAATTTTCAGCATGTGATTTCAGTAGCCCAAATTTTGCAGGCCGACCATTGTATCAGGTGTGCGTCGGCAGGGGATCGAACCCCGGACTATGTGCATAGTCGGCGAGAGTCCTAACCGCTGTGCCACCGACGCTGTTGCTAATGCACTGTGGGAATAGTAATCTGACGCTAACATCAACAAATACAATGATTCTTACTGTGAGAATAATATTCCGTTGGAACACTTTGTATCACACCATCACAGTTTGAGATGATAATGATGTGGTGACAAATCGTAAAATAAAAATCTTGATTACAGAAGAAATTGAATCAGTAACCCCTGAGTTATTGGCTAAATGCACTACTAAGTGTGCTAATTAAATCCTAATGTAAATTCAGTCATCAAAGATTTTGTAACGATATTTATTTGAATGACTGATAAGAAAGCTATGTGTCCGAACGAGAACATATTGAACTGAAGATGAATTAGAAGTTTCCTGATAAGCAGTTGGATGACATATCTCACTTTCTATAGGTGTCATGGAACTCTCTAAATTGAATCGTTAAAAGACCATAATCATTTCTGAAAATAATGAGTGACTTTATGTGGGCAAAAGGGTTCAAACAGAATTAGGTGGCAATGAACCAGCAGACAAATATGACAAAGGGAATTAACTATGGTACTTTCTTTAAATCATTTGCTATCAGTCCTCTAACATGTACTTATGAAAACTTCTCTGCATATAAAAAATGAACACTTAAAGCATAGCGATGACATCGTGGTGAAACCAGGACTCAATGTGAACATAGAGAAGATAGAGGTGGTGAAGATTCTCGACCACTAATGATAAACATCAGTCAACATGATCAACATTGTTTCAACCATGAGGGTATCAAAGTCAGCCAAGATCTAGCATCGGCATCAGAGGTGTTCAATACTCTCACAGCTGTGTACTGATCCAGCCCACCACACGGAACACGTTCGAATTTCTAATACTAATTTCAAGTCAGTGCTTCTATACAGACAAGAGACTTGGTGTGCGCATCACCCAGGGCTTTTTTAATGGACTGCAAACTTTTGTGAGCAGATGACTCCACTTGAGAATAAAGATCAAATAGCCGATCAGAAAGAATAAGCAGCAAGAAACTCTAATACGTGACGAACCAGCCAACAATTTATTACCCAAAAAATATGCAGAAACAAACAAAAGTGGACCGGACAAACACTGAGGAGAGCTTCAAATTATGTCGTACACCATGTAGTTGGGTGGAACTCCAGTAGCTGATCGGCGGTAGCAGGGCGACATGGAGATCATGTGATAGAGAAATGAAAGCTTATTGTTAATCACGAAGCCAGCTACAACAGACCACAGTAAGCACAGTGAACTGACGAAGGGTTGGTGAGGCCTTATGCTCCACTCGGAACCCAAAGAACAAGTATTCATATGCGTAATTTCTTCGAAATGGTGGCCGATGAAATATTTTGTTCAACAATGAAAATAGCCATTCTTTCTCTACATTTGTATTATACTGACTCAATTACACACTTATTTTTATCATAAAAACAATTTTCAAGTGTTCGTTTGATTGGTTACAGGATTTCATCATGAGCTAACATCAGTTAGAGAACCATTGGGAAACCTAAGAGTACTGGCGAGTTGTTTCATCCTAGTTTGGGACTCTTCATCAGCACGCACCCACCGGAGCTAGAAACCAGGACCTTCTGGTTACAAGACGAGCTCGTAGACCGTTACGCCACTGGGACTCGACCCAGTAGCCAGCCCATCAATTCCAACTTCTACCGACTGACAATACTGCGCGACCACTGGCCAATGTAGTTGGCGAATATTTGTCTTCACACCCGACTTGCTGTACACTACCCATGTCAGCTCATGATAAAATCCCAAAAATAACTTTAAAACAAAGATGTCTTCAACAATAAGAAATCACTCAGAAGACAACGATCTTTCTGCAACAAGAAGTTTAGTTTCTTGCGACTTCATTTTTCTGGTCCAGTATATATCTGTTCATATAGATAGCTATGGCTTTTAATTTGATTATTCCACTACAGAAACAGTGAACTCTAGAACATTTCGCCTCGTAACCAGAAGGTCCTGGGTTCGAATCCCGTTGGGCGCGTACTGCTGAAGAGTCCCAAACTAGGACGAAACAGCTGTCCAGTACTCCCAGCTGGTTTTCCAGTGGTTCTCTAACTGATGTCAGCTCATGATGAAACCCTCCATGCATTTCGTCTTTATGAAAATCTGATCTTTCTTAGTGGTAAATATTACCTGTGAATTCTACACCACTTGGGCTTATTTTTTCACGTTGGCCTTGTTTGTTGGTCTGCTTGTTTGCTTACCTTCTTTCACTATATACGTCTGTGCGAAAAATATCGTTTTCTACCTAAAGACATTTTTATTTAAGAAATTTTCATAAGAAATGTAGAAACCTTTCATTATGTAATGCATTTCTCCTATTTCTATTGTTTTATGATGATCTTCTTATGACACAAAAAATACTCAAAAGGTTTGTTGTTGAGAATAATAAAACTAATTCCTATTGGTGTAATACTTGGGCACTTTAGTAGCATTTGATTCCATATTAGTTTGTTTATTGGATATATCATCACATATTGGAACAGTATAATTGACTGGATGAAGAAATTTCGAACATAATTTATTGTTCGTAATCATTTAATTCAGAATTACGTAACTTAGAAACTTGAATATTATAGTTCTCTTTGTTCCTCCCTATATAGGTAGTAGAATTTTTCAGATGTATGGGTCAGGTGTTCCTTTTACACGTATTCTCTGTTGATTTCACAAATAAAGCTTCACTTATCAACCTCTCTTTCCACCATGTCATGTTAGATTTTAAGACTGTCGTCTTATTCTATGTCATTGCATAGGTGGGTGTAACTGCATGTAGTGCTATGGTCAAACTATTTCGTGGATTTCTTATCTTATTTGGATCAACGAACCTGGATTTCACTAGGGTTTTGTGGTTGATTAATCTAACTCACCCCGACCTACTAGTTTGACCTCACAGTTAGTATAGTGTACTACGTAAACTAAATTATTTTGTTCAGTGGACTCCACACTATCGTCCAATCAACATAATTTATTTGTGGGTTCGAATGCCACCTTTATTCCTGCTTTGTTAGGAATTCTACGTAAGTTTAAAGGGGTTCCCTTTTTGTATGTGAGTACTATTGTTGGTATTGTCATCTTTCTCTGTATGCTTGCCATGTATATCGTCCTTATTGTTAATAATTTTGTTTTTTTACAATTTATTATATACTACTAAATGACTAGTTTATCAGGGTAATTAAGAAGTTTGAAATTTATATGTTATGTCTCACTTCCTGTAGTAAATTTTTTAGTGCCCTATCATCGTTTCAACATTTCACTAATCCTATTTTAACCACATGTGTGGGTTTTCTGTAAACACTAATGTTTATCTTCCCATCTCCTTTCGTTTTTATGATGTAATCTAACATTTGAAGCTTCCCTTCATTACTTTCCAATGCATAAGTGAATTGAATAGCCTTTAACTTTGAGTTGATGTGCTTGTAAAATCAGTTTGCATCTTGTGTCCAGTACAGGGAATTTGTCGTCTGTCTACCTCTACTATACTTTTGGGTTGGGGCTGAAGGCTTCAATAAATACATTTAAGAATAAATAAAGCGAACTATAATATTCAAGTTTCAAAGTTGTGTTGTTATAATTGATGTGAATATGAGGAGTAAATTATGTAAAAAACGTATTCATCCAGTCATTAATACTGTTTCAATACAATACAATAATGTGATGATTTATCTAACAGATAGATTAATATGTAATTCATGTAAGTTGAATAGTATTCATAAACATTACATTTATGTCCTTTTGTCTGTTTTAATCTTTCGTTCCAAAAGGTCGTCTAAAAATGAATCCCATTGTTGATGAATTCGATGCCTATTACAAATTTATCGGTAGTACTTCAACACATTTTTACATAATGACTAACATGAATGCACCAATGAATAAAATTATTAAAGTTGATATAAAAGATCCTGAATGGGTAAGGTTTATAAACATGTCCATTTTATTAATTCTATAATTGATATCACATTCTGTCAATAATCTAGTGAGTGATTTGTTAATTTTTTCTGAGGATTTAATCAACTTCAAAAAGTATTCAACAGTTGTTTTACTCACACATTAAGGGACTTCAGTAACAATCACCTGTAGCTTCGTCAGATATTCAGTTTTAAAAGTCAAGTTCCCAGGTGACCAAACTGTCATGAAGGGATAGCTAAAACTTCACCTTGGTTAGTGAAATGGTGAATGGATGTTCTCGAGTACTGTTCTTGAGACCAGTCCTTATTTTAGTGTGATAAAATCTATTCCTTCCATCTTCACCGGGCTTACTGAAGGGTTAATCAAGGTTTAGCAGTGCGTCGGCCGATAATCGAACCACAGACCAAATGCGTAGTTGATAGTCATTCTCTTCGTAAACAACTGATGCGCACATGCGTTATCCACTAGGCCACTGGGCCACAGTATAAACTTTACAACTGGCAAAATGTGGGAAACTGGCTATTGTGAATTAATCATCGGAGTGTTGGCTCTAATTTTATATAAGATAAAATTTGGGAATTGCTAACATGGGTTAAAAGAGCTGTTTCACCCACTTCATCGTCCTCATTGGTTCTGTAAATAATGTGGTTTCGCTATGAATAAGCTTACCGCAATTCAAATTAAACAAAATGAATAAAGCGAAAAACAATCCAACAAAGTGTTCTAGATTGTTATGAATATGAATTTTGTACAGTTCAATATTCTAGTAAAAGTAATCAGAGAAGCTGAAGCATACTTCAGTACAAGGGATACAAGATAATGTAGGCCAGCCACCAAGTCAATAGATCAGTTAATATACATACACTGTAGCCCATTTCTTAGCACCAAAGTTATTACCCAAAGAAAAATTACATTTATCGAAAAGATTATAAGTCAAACTAGATAATTCAATAATTGAACGGTCAGAGGTTTTCAGAAAGTCGAAACCATTTCTCCTGCCGTATAGAACTTCGGTAGTAAGTTGGTGATGATTACGAGAACGTATTCAAGTGTCATGATTTTTGACACATATCGAACAGCTACTTTTCCAGTGCCTTGAAAATTGATACTCTGTTAAAGAATTCAGCTAGCGTCATGCCTATCAACCACCATTACGAAACCTTTATCCACTGTCCCATGTAAATTGACTGAAATCAACAAACATAAGTCATAAATTTGTTACAATAGATACGGCCCATGGTTTATTAACGGAACTTCATCAGCACTAAGGCTTAGGAAATATAATTCTCATTATATATCAATGAACGAGTAATTTAATTTAGTGTTTAGAAGTAAGCTTTCAGACTTTACTTTATCTGAATCCGGTTTAACCGAAAACTATAGAAATAGATATTTATCTGTAAACTTGACAGCTAAACTGAACAGTTTAACGTTGATATGTTTAACTCATTTTGAATTAGAACGTAGTGATGTGAGTAAAAAAATGCATTATATACAAATACTACCCACCTTGGAAAGTTAAACAAATAAATAGCCCGTTTAATTGGTCCCGATTCAAGATTGTCCGATAGTATTGTAAAAAATATTCTGTCTGGCCTGATGACTCAAATTTATTCAGACTGGTTTTAGCTGTTTTTAAGTTTAGGTAGAAATCAAGTACCATCATATAACACATTTCAACAAATCTTATTTTTAGTTTAGCTACCTTTTATTTAATTTTTTAAAATTTCTTTCTTAAGTCAAGCTGGGAAGATTTTGTACCTCATAATTCAGCAAGTAAAATGGAACACGCTGTATGCGTAAATCAACGATACATGGCTATCTGTTATCTAGAAAATGTGTTAGTAAGTTGTTATTTATTTTTTTATTTTATTTTTTTGAGTTTCGACTGGAACATAGGACTTCAAGCTTCTTTACGTTTAAAGTTACAATAGTTGTGGTGATCTCTTTTCGAGGCATGGGTGCTAGCTCACCCACACCCAAACTTCCTTTTTTAACGGGCTTACTACTGGTTAGGCGAGGTTGAGCAGTGAGTTGGCAGGCAATCGAACCTCGGACCACATGAGGCGTGGTTAGCGAGTATTCTACCAGTGAACCACCGACGCAAGGTAGTAAGTTGTGATTGTTAAAAAATTATAGAATAAATATTAAAACATTAATGTAAGCCATAAATAATTATCCTTATTTCCTTAAAATCCTTATTTAACCTGTAACACAGTGAAGTTAAGCCATTTACTGATCATTTAACTTCAATTTCAAGGTGTGGTTCATTCCGAAATAATTGAAATGACCAACTCGTATATGCATTTTGGATGCAGTATATTCTTTTTTTACGACCTAATCGTAGAATCCTGTATGTGTTTATTCCGCACTGTGTTTAATCGGTCCGATACACCTACATTACAGTTTTCCTAATGACGTTTCAAGTCGACATCCACAACTTTATATGGTCTGTTTGTTTATACTAAGCTTATAGCCTGAATGTTACCGTAATACCAGACTTGACTTCAGAGCTTTCTGAAATGTATCCAAATGTTAATTACTCCTAAAGAGGACTAAAATTTTCCTCAGCGTGTTCTTCTTCATATGATTCACTAACAAACTACGCCAATCACTAACAGAGATATGTAAGTCACCATTTTCACATATCTAGACAGCATCATTTCAACTAAAGGAGGCACGTTTGAGGATGTCAAGCCTACTTAGGATAGGAAAAGCAGAAGAAACCTTCCTTAATTTGAAATCAGTACGAAAATCTAATACAATAAGCACGAAGCACTAGATTCGGATTTTCAACACTGATATCAAGTCAGTCAGTGCTTCAATATGGTTCAGACACTTGACGGACGTGTTACCAAAGGCATTTCCAACAGGTTAGAATTTCGTCAGCAGCTGTCTTTGCTCCTTACTGATGATTAGATGTCGAGCCAGAAAGGAATAGCAACAAGGAAATCTGCCAAGCAACAGACCAAACAAGTGCACATTGCCTAGTAAAAGTACTATTGTGGTGGTGTGGTACTGACAATGTGTTCCAACGGAATATTATCCTCACATATTCCCACAGTTCAGTACGGCATTAGCAATAGAATACGATATATCTATCTGAACATTCTATTTTATGTCGTCCGGGATAGGCAAAAATCACACGTTCAAACTGCTATATATATATATATATATATATATATAGCAGTTTGATTACTAGAAAATATACCTTGTTTTCCGTGTCTTGCCTGATGAAGTTCACTTTGAGGTGAAATAAATGATTGAAAGAAATTTATCTTATAAGCTGACTATCTGTTGATAAGCATAAAAACGAAAAAATACCAGTCTAAACACGGAACCATGAAGAAGCAGTTCAGCAAAGAGATTTTTCTGTCCAGTCTTTGAATATGTGAAAGAATGGAGTCAATGTGATTCCAACTCCGACGCCTAAGAGGATTGCGATGTAGAGCTTTCCAATACTACTTTGGACATTCGTGACTGTTTGTAAAGTCGTTGAGAAAAACAATCTTCCTAATAACTTCAGCAAGCATGACAGAATAATGCGGAAACCCGTTCAGTTTCTTTACTATCAAAGGGGGTCTTCTAATTCTTAATAAGTGGAAATTCCCATTTAGATATCGAATTAACCAAAAAGAGTCTCTTTGCCGAACTCTTTGCACATATCTCCATTGCAAGGGATGTATTTACTTGAAATTTTAAATCCAAAGACGTATTCGCTTTATTCTGTTTGAGATTTTCGAATACATTCAATGTTGCATAGTGAAACACACACACAAAAAACTGAAACTTACAGCACCTTTTAGATCTAAAATTAAAACAAACTGTAGAATAGTGGTATAAAGAAACTCGCTTAAAAGTAACACTGTAAGCCTAATATATACAGTTCTCACTTATATCAGTTGCTAATAAGTCTTACGAATATACATTTAAAGCAAAATATTTAATTAAGTAATCTGTAAGCAATAAGTGATGAGCATCGCTCGGAAATGATAATCATTAAAAGTTCAAAAAATTTGCAAGCTCTTGAAAACAAGCATATTTGGATGACTCTTAACTATAGCAGCCCAAAACAAAACTACCTACTGAACGGACTAATGACCTTGAGCTACCGATCACAGGAGTCCATAGTATGTAGACGGAATTATGGACGCTGTATAAGAATTACGCAGAAAATTTCATCCGAATCTAGTATTTAAGTACAACTTAGACTACAGGCTCATTGGGAAAGAGAAAACGTGTAGCCAACTGATATGGCTAGGCTATATTTATAACCGGGTCAATAATACGGACTAATTTGTTAATCCTTTCGATGAAACTGTTACAAATTCCATCGAAAGTTTCTAGAGTCACCTAAAAAGGAGGATCGGAGCTGTAAATGAGTCAAAAACAAGATTATTTAAAGTTATCTCAATGAATTTACGTGCAGAAATTGGTTAAACCTAACTATGAGGACTCACATGAGAAATTAGGAGGTTTTCTTTGAACATATACAAGGAAGTTATCCTATATAGGATGACTACTAAGTTTTAACGTTGCATTACTTATGTATAAACGTCTTTCTCAAATTATGCAGTTATACTTCAGACTCGTTTGATTGGTCTTTATTAGGGAATTTCTTTTTGGGCTGCTACAGTTTAGAATCACCAGTTGACGAAGACAAAACCGAATGAATATGGATTAGATTCCAAGTTGTTATCCGATTTAAGGACAGAAGGCGTAGCTTGAATCCCTTTGAACGACTTGGCTTTACCTAATAATCACTTTGAGGGATTTTCCTTTTGACGCGGAATGATTTCTTAGAACAACTAGCTCAAGAATTGAAGTATTGGTTCTTTTAATGTCACATTTCGACAACCATGTTGGGAGAAGTCTTTATGCACACCTTGACAATATCCTTCTAGTACGGTCTATGTAAACAGGAACAAGTGAACTGATATATAAACATGGAGTTGCCACTGTCTGAAACACTGTCTGAAACACTGTCTTCGACATTTTGATGAATAAGAGGGTGATTGGAGAATGTAAGTAGTAAAGATGCAGCGAAGAATTCTTTTTAAATCACTCTTGATAACGTGTCACGAAGACAGCTTCATTGACTGAGATTACCTGTGGATTCATTTCAGTATGAATTTCTTTCTCAAGTGTATATAATGACTGACTGACCAACTTCCAACGTAGAACTTTGCACAGAAGTTGAGCGGTTCATCCTTCCATACTGCGTGTACCATACAAAGGTAGAGAAAAGAGAGAGCGAGAAAAAATTCAGAAAAATTAGTATGAACAGAAATCTGCAACTGCATATATATTAAGATACACTGAAATTTAAGCATATTTTTGCCTACTGAACGAAACACCAGTCAATCGCTGAATAATATTAATAATAATAATAAACTATAGGGAATTAGGAAATCGTGTTTAAAATTTGGTAAATAAAAAGAATAAGTTTAACTTTCACTAGCTGATGACTGGAGGTGAAATAAAATCTAGTCAGAGACAAGATCCAAACCAGCAATCTCCGAGTTCAGTGAGTGCTCTAGCGAGTGACTTATGGGACTCGGGTACCAACCAGATCATCATTGCACTGCAATTACAACATAATCTGTAACCTCTGAATATTAGTGCATAGAATGAATAAATACTAAGGTCATATTGAAACACTTACTCGATTCGGTAGCCGACTTACATTTTAGCGATGGTGTTAATCAGTATTCATTTAAAGACTGATGAGTTACTATTACTAAATAATCTTCTAAAGTTCAGAAATCTTCCCCAAATAAAGCAGGCTACTACTGAGTAACTGAAGGAAAAAGATAACAGCATTGTAACATTGCATGCAGGTAAGGATTTGGACATTATGATGAAAACGACTGACTACTTCACGAAAATTACATTTACCCACTAATGATGCGTTGAAGCTGAATAAGTTCATCCTATTTTGTAGAACTTATTGTTCTTGCTTTGTTCTAATTTCTATGAAGCTTTGGTAAATAATTGAAATTATTTCCTAAAGTGTTGGTTTGCAGGGGTTTGCTTGATTTCATGATTGATCACGAAACGACATCATTTAGAGTACCATTTAGAACCAGCAGGGGGTACTGGACACCTGATTCATCCTTGTTCAGCGCCCTTCAGCAAAACGCCCTCATGACCTCACAGGGGGTTGGACCCATAACGTTTATGTCACAAGGAGAACTCGTTGAAGCTGCAGTCACTAGGACAGAACCTAATGGTCCATCAGTTTTAACTTCTGTCAATTTCCTTTATATAGCGCGATCACCAGCCAGTGTCTTCGGACAGTATTTATCAACGAGCTTGTCTTGTAAACTGAAGGTTCCAGGTTCGATCCGCAGTGGGATAGTTCACGGAGAGTCACAACCAAGGATGAAACACCTGTTCAGTAATCCCGGCTGGTTTTCAGTGGTTTCCTAAATGATTTCATTTCGTAGTCTGTCTTGAAATGGATTTTGGTCTAATTTTAACAATCAGTAGTATGAATGTAATTTCAATCTTGACAATAAAAACTACTTGTTCGTTACTTTCTTTCTCCATTCTTTGTATGTGGACGTGAATTTGCACTTCTGTCGCATAGAATCATATATCAATCTATGACTGGAATACTGGGTTACACTTACGCAAGATTTCAATACCTATTGGTAAAGTGTATGCTCTTAGTGCACACCATACAAGTATGAAGGTAATACAATGAATATGTCATTTCCAACAAAAAATAATAATAATCTACTCCTATCCCAAACAGATTATTGTCGGTTTTGCTACATTCAATGAACCCTGTACTCTGATGTATTGTAACTTAGCCGAGAATAACTGTAAGCTTGAGGTAAACTTGTTATATTTATCTATAATTTTACTCGTTTGAATTCACAGTAGAATATGGAGCTTCAAGCTTTGAGTCTTGAAGTTTCAATAGAAGCTGCATTATTATTTTTACAGACTGGGGTCAATGGCCCACCCACACCCCACCTTGCCTCTTTCTCGGGTTTGTTACCAAGTCAGCAAGGTTTAGGAGTGGATTAGCCAGGGTTTGATCTCAGACCACCTGCATGGTTGGCGAGCATCCTACCACTCAACCACCGACGCATCAAAACCTGTTATACTAAATGTATATATAAATATGATTAATTTTGTTGAATATGCTTTACTATAATGCAGACAAACAGATAGTAGGTTAGCAATAAGGCTTCGTGATAACAAATCAGTAGTGATGAAAACCTACTAAAATATTTCCCTCTTGATACTTCTGGATTTTTTATGTTAGCGTCAGTGAATCGAAATGATGGATTCCTGTTGTTCTTGATGTCATTTTAATTTTACTTGATGAGTAATGATATACAGAGGGATCCTCAACAATCACTTTGTCTTAATGAGGTGAAACTGACAAGTTTCATGAAAATAGTAATAAGTTGTGCTGATAAGACAAGAGGTCTCCACAGCTGATCATTGGATGACGCTTGTGCATTCACTTTGATTGTTATTTGATCTGAGTCATATCAGAAACATCACCGCTTATTCAAATACACATACATACTCGCGTCCTAGCTTCCTGATTTACTTACACTAGGAATGCACTATATAATGTGTAAAAATCCCATGATACATTTCATTAGCGGCACTTTACCTAAATAAAGTGATACATACTACTTATCAATCAGAGATCATTTGATTCAATAAGCATAGTTTGTCAATCAAATCAAGGTTATTTTAGTAGAGGACAACCATTGCGCTCACTCAGGGCTGTGCTCATTACCGGTATACACCGACTGATACAGCCTAGAAAGCCAGATAAATTCATACAACTTGAAATAATTCATTGTCAAGCAGATTGCATACTGTTTTCTAAATATATGAGGTCTGTATGAGGAGAGCCCGTGGTGGCATTTCGCCTTCGACTATGTACTTTTCAAATAGCTAACCACATTTGATCTCTTCACTTGTTAAATATATCGTATATAAATAAATATAAATATATCGTGTACAGTGTGTTATCTCATTTCACCTTGATATGCATTCTCAATTAAATGACGCTTAGCAATTATGTTTAAAGTGGATGGCAAAATATTTATTTCTTGTAGAGTTTTTCAGCCAGAGATTCTCACTTCAAGATGTTGATGTTTGTATATTGACTAATCTTACTGCATATAACAGGTATTTCGTAAATCTGAACCAATGGAGTTGAAAGAAACTGAATTTGAAATAAAGCAAGTGTTTTACGCATCCAAAGATTTAACATCCATTCCAATGTTCATATTTCATCGAAAGGTATGCATACCTTATATTCCATTTAAGGTTGTCATTTGTATAGTGACTGTTGTAATTTTTGTGTAAATGTGATGTGGTTGACTGTAACAGACTGATACAAACTGAGGTATACATCACACTAGTTGTCAGTTTGGCTGAGTGGCAGGCTATTCTCGGAAACTTATTGCATCAACTTGTATCGCATTACAGAACGTGTGTTCATCTGTGCGTTTATTTATTCAGTTATCAATGCACTAATGCTTCACATGGAAGTGAATCAGTTTTCATTTAGTGTTTTCACTGCATCAAACTTAATTTGTTATTTCTTAGACAAGGTGGAGCGTGTTAAAACTGACAGGTTGTCATTTCTTCTTGGGGTTTTATTGAAGGAAATACGTTTAGGTTATGACTAGCACTACCATTTCTGGTGGTATAAACAAGGCTATTTCTCCTGTTGATAAAGTACTGTCCTTTCCACTTTAGGAGATTTTGTGAACTTGGTCCAGCCCCAACACCAGACTTTCTCCATACTTTCCGTGATCTCCAATTTCAGATGTAATCCAACTCTTCTTTTCTCTCAACTAAGATTTCCAATTTTCGACTTTCTGCTCATACTTCACACTTCTGATGGCTTATTTCCTTTCCATCTCCCATCTTTTCACACTCGACCAAACGAGATGCATCTAGCTTTCATTGTGCAATGGTAGTCGTGGTTTACTACAACCCATCAACTAGTAAAACTAGTAGAAGTTCTCCCTTCCAATTGCCTTCTTTGGAGGTTAGACACTAATACGGTGTTTGGCTATTTATCTCCTTCAAACTATTAGTTTGAGGATAATATAGTGTCACACTAATAACAATAATAATACCTAGTTGTTGCAGGTGGGATTAAAATTATTCATTTCGATAGAGAAAGAAAGACCAAATTTGCAGTATAAAATGATATCATTCTATTTTAGAGGTTCTCATCATCTGCAAACTACCTGAAATTACAATGGTTATAAATAATAACAGTTCATACTTCAATGTTTGAAAGATAATAGTGGAAACATTATAAGATGAACGCATCTGGAATATAAGTATCACAATTTTTAGTTTAAGTTACCATCAATTTATACACTATCAAACCGTAAAAAAGGGGGGATGAGAAAGACAGAAAACAGGAAAATCTAATAAAGTGTTAGCTTGTACGTCGACATGGCAACTCAAGACGGTTAAAGTTCATCAAATTGAAAACTTGCTTAGTGAGCTGAGCTCACTAGTGTGTATGACTTATCAGTGTAATGAAAATGATACGGTTACCAAGGCAATGAGAGATTGACTACACTCTTTTTCTGTGTGCATAAGTTTGGTCTGAAGCGTTTGATTGCAATTGCTCCAGCAAATCGTAGAAGATTCGCTGTCCTTTGTATGTTTAATATTTTGAAGTAATTGGAAATCTCGACAAAATGACCCGTATCCACAAGGTGTCTGGTAATTGCACTTTGTAAATATCTGCTTCCTTTTAAGCATAAGTTTCTCGGAATATACTCTGAACGCCGGATAGAAGCCCTTCTTTCTGTCCTTCCAATGTACTTGCTGCCGCAGGTGCACGTAAATTAATAAATGCAGTTGGAGGTAACATCAGCAGGGTACTTATCCAATTTTGATTGGCTAATAGTGCCTGTGGTGCTGTATAGTGTCACCAGCTTGGCTGCAAGGAAGCATCTCTTTATTGCTCCTTTCATCCTTTTTTCAATCTTTTGTGATACTGTTTTTCCTTTGTATGGGAGGCAAATGAGCACTTTCTTCTTTTCAACTGGTGGATACTTCTCTTTCTCATCTCTTTATTTGCTGTACTTTAGGGAAAATCCTTTTCGATACCCGTTCTCCTTAAGGCATTTTTCAACAAAGCTTAATTCTTCTTCTTCCCTGTTAGGCGAAGATAACTCCCTGGCCCTGTCATACATTGTCCTTTCTAATCCCCGCTTATAGCTTATAGGGCAGAAGCAGCACAAAGTGCAATTACCAGACACCTTGTGGATACGGGTCATTTTGTCGAGATTTCCAATTACTTCAAAATATTAAACATACAAAGGACAGCGAATCTTCTACGATTTGCTGGAGCAATTGCAATCAAACGCTTCAGACCAAACTTATGCACACAGAAAAAGAGTGTAGTCAATCTCTCATTGCCTTGGTAACCGTATCATTTTCATTACACTGATAAGTCATACACACTAGTGAGCTCAGCTCACTAAGCAAGTTTTCAATTTGATGAACTTTAACCGTCTTGAGTTGCCATGTCGACGTACAAGCTAACACTTTATTAGATTTTCCTGTTTTCTGTCTTTCTCATCCCCCCTTTTTTACGGTTTGATAGTGTATAAATTGATGGTAACTTAAACTAAAAATTGTGATACTTATATTCCAGATGCGTTCATCTTATAATGTTTCCACTATTATCTTTCAAACATTGAAGTATGAACTGTTATTATTTATAACCATTGTAATTTCAGGTAGTTTGCAGATGATGAGAACCTCTAAAATAGAATGATATCATTTTATACTGCAAATTTGGTCTTTCTTTCTCTATCGAAATGAATCAATGGAATCGAATGTTTGAAATTAAATGATTCACTTAGGCGTTTAGTCTTTATACCCTTCTCTTACATTAGTAATCAGGTTAGCAAGAGATTTTCTGCAGGCCTATTTTGCATCCATTCATTGGGTTATGGATTGTACCATTTCCATTATGATGCGACACGATATCTGACGGGGTGTTTCTAATGTGTGATGTTCTACCGCATGTGTTCTGCCTGCAATCTCAGGCAATGGAACTTCACCTTATGGTTTAGGTGAAATATTTGACGGAAGATTTTCTCAAAGCTATCAGAAGCCAGCGCGGTTATATACTTCTCATTGGATTCTTTAACTAAGAGTACTGGAGAAATATGCTTCTCCAATAATGTCACCATTTAATAGTCCCTGAGACTATTGTCTGATTTCTTCTTATATGTGACAAGGTACTCTATGTGCTGTGAATGTTGTCATATGAAACATTAACAGGATTTCGTTCTTCATCGTATCACAGGACCCTTAAGTGTCACCATATGTAGTGAATTTTTTCCCACATTTTTTAGATTATACATTGATATGCGATGATCATAGCAACTGGACCCTTTCTGTTTTAACACACAGGGATCAATCTATGGGTATAGATAAAATAATTGATTTAATTTATTTTACATAATGAATTCGAATTCCGATTTCTTTTAGAAATAAAATAATGTACGTAACGAATATTTTATATGATTACTGAAGACTGACTTCAAATCGTAAGCATTAAAATTACTTCATAGTCCTTTGACCCACTGGATAACATTGTATCGTTTAGAACGATAAGTACTGGGTTCAAGTCTGATTAGGTACCCTATCCTTCACTCACCATGCAGTTACATGCATCTTAAGAGTTTTAATTAACATGAAATAAACGCTTTGGGTTCCACCGCTATCCACCATGAAACAAGTAACTTGGAATTCTACATCTTCTGGGCGATCTTTCAAGGAGCCCATTTAAGGAAATGAAGGCAGTCATTTAGGTCAGATATATGTTCACGAAATCATAAGCATGAAGAGTTAATTTCGATTCAATGTGCATTTAAAAAGAATAAAATAAACTGAAAAGGCATAATCTACCCACCTATCTTTCTATCCATACTGGCTATTTAAATTAAGATGATCAGAGCTTTATATGACCATTTTATATTATTCATTTACCTCTTTCTCTTACTTGCTAACTTGCTAACTTTTAACTTTGTTTAAGGGTATCACTTTGACTGGTAAAAATCCATGTAAATTGATTTCATTCGGTGGCTTTGGTTTAACTAATCAACCATATTACTCTGCAAGCAATCTGTTATTTGTAGAACATTTCAATGGAATTATTGCAGTGGCTAATATACGTGGTGGAGGGTAAGCGTGTGTTTTTTTCATTACTCTTAATAGGATACTACTGCTCATAAAAGTTTAAAGGATTATATAATTACAGGCCGGTAAGAAGCTCCTTTCTAATCATAGTGTTTTACTAATGTTCACAAGTAAGGAAGAAGAGGAAATCTGTGTTTACTTACTGAAGCCCAGTTCTGAAGAGTATTTCGCAGCCTCGATTCTCGTGCATTTATTAAATGAATCAATCTACATTGTGGAAAAAACGGATTTATGACAAACCTCAAAACTGTTCTCTCGTCCACTACCTTTGTTGTGTATTAATTTTCCCTGTGTCCTGCAGTAACACACACATTGGAACTCGGACTAATTCATCTCTCACCAAAGTTTCTTGTTATTTTGCCAGACTGACTATACATATACTGTACGTATACATTAAATTTGTTTCCTGTCTGAAAGAATTTCATTTCACTGTATTAAAGAGGTTCTCCCGTTACTTCTCATAAGTTCATACAAAACCTTTGGCCAATACTGCTACTATATGGAATTGAAGTTAGGAAGAGTTATCTCTTTGCTGACTCATATATTTTCCTAATTACAGCATACGGCAATTATTCATACTACTCGTTACCTTATCAGCATTTGGGTCATCATATAAATGTCACAGATTCAAGTGTATAAGAGCATTACTCATTTGTTTTGAACAATTCCGAAGTTATCACGCCGACCAATGTAGATTTAACGTCATTAATTATGATGTAACTGATGACATCAAATAAATCACATATTTCCATACGAATTTATTCAGATAAAATAATATAACGAGAACACACTTAAAGGGGTAGGAACAAAAACTATAGAGAAAAATGGTGTAAATCTATCCTATCGTCAAATCATCTACTCACGCTTAAATGCCTTCCTATCACTCTTTTTAACTTCAAAAATACTTGAATACAAAATCTGCATACGTATTTCATTTATATATGTATAATGCTCTTTGTTTAGTGAATATGGAGAGCAGTGGCATAAAAAAGCAGTTATTACTAAGAAATCTGTCGCTATTGACGATATTACCGCAGCAGCAGAATATTTGATCAGAGAAAGATACACTAATTCAAACAAGTGAGTTGTGTATTTTCTCCTAAATTAGAATTTATTTTTCAAGAGTTATTCTTTAAAGATTTGGTTGATTTCATCAGTTAGACAACCATTTAGAAACTAGCAGGGAGTACTGAACAGCTGTTTAGTTCTAGTTTGGGACTCTTCAGTTGTATGCATCCATGACCCAACCCATCAGTGATCGAATGCGGAATGCACTAACATTTCTGCTCAAAGTGTTCAGAAGATTGTGCATTTTGTTAGTGTCTTCACCTAGTAGGGCTATATGACTTACATTTTTTTAAGGTCGACGAGACTGTTCCTGATAACAGTTGAATCTCTAAATCACCTAAGTAGATCAGAGTTACATCCACTAGTATATCTATAGTGAAACTAAACGAAAATGGAGACATTTGGAATCCCCAACAGACAACACTAGTTTTCTTTACTTCAGTTGATAACTTTTCATGGAGTGTTGATCTTTTTACAACCTGTTTCTCCAACGAGTTCAAATGGTTGATGGATATAACATACTGCTGATGTCTTTTCTATTTCTTTCACTTAAATCTCCCACCACTGGTCATGGTCGATGTGAAAACTATTAGTCAGCTTGTATTTGAGCGAATCTTGCTCCTCGATATGTTCAGAGCCCCCCACAATCAGTGCTTTGCGTCTATCAGTCCAGATGAAATGACAGAAACTTACGTATATTTACTGACTTTTGGTTTCAGGTTATCAGCAGTCGTTGTCACTGTGACCTTTGCCAACAAACGTCTCCTCTATTATAGACACGACAGCTAGCTATGCACCAGAGGGCGTGTACAGTTCGCTTCGTCCTCCTTTATGATGGCCATTGAAAGCGAAAGACCTTAAAAGGCAGGTTAACCGCTTTTAAACATAGGCGCCTGCCTTTTACCTTTCGTACTAAGTGGTATAATATGGTGAGCAATATTCATGACAGGCATAGAGTGATCGGTAAGACGGGTAAGTTAGTCGATAAGGTTGCGATGCTACAACCACGGTGGTGGTAAGGACACATGTTACGCCCACCAAACTAATTATGGAGTTGCAGACCACCTGGTTGAAATCATCGAGAAGATGATAACCTATGGCTTGAGATTGTTGGTGATATAGCGGAAATTTATTCACTCTTTATAATCTCTATAAACCTGTTATGTTTCTCCATGTAATTATTCTTTCCGCAGTACATTTCTACTGATTATAGTTCTTTAGGATTTTCTGCCTACCTTTGTGTGCTACATGTAGTGTGGCAACTTGAATTTCTGCATTTCTTGTCAAATTCCAAAGTTATAACTCAGTCATTCAGTCAGCCAACACTGTTTCAATATTAGACTAGTTATGACTACAGGCCTCCTCAGGATGAATATTAATGTCATTCTCAGATATGTATTAAATTATTTCTCTCAAAGATAGTTGATATAAGTATAAAACTTGGGCACGGTGGTAGAGCATAACTCCATTATGGATAAGATTTTATTTTGATAAATCACACAGTGTTATACAGTAATATTAACTGATGACGTTTCGAGCACAATTTAATGCTGCTCATAATCATATCAAGTCACTCACACAACTTTCTCCTTCATTTACATAGATGTCTGGAATTGACCAGATATTTGAATAAAAATCAATATAGGATAATGTACATTTAGAAATAATAATACGAGTGTTATTCATCAATTACAATGAGATGGGAAATAAGATGAGTGTTCTCACAGTCATAATAAGCAACTTGTTGGAATGTTGCGATGTGCTTGAATTGAAATAGAATTTTGAGATTATTGACTATCCTCTTCTGATTTGACTGGCGGTAATAATATCTTCCATATTTCTGGTATTTGCATTGAGTCATTTCTGTTGCATGTGTTGGGTGTAGACTCAATGAACCAGGATTCAGTAATCAATCTGTCTCTCCACCTACATAGATTACTTCTTAGAATCTTAACCCTCTCCCACCCTATTGTATGGTTTTGTGTTAATGCATGCAGTGCTATTGCTGAGCTTTTTTCTAAATTACTCATCTTCTTGGGGTCAACCATTTTTACCTTAGCTAAATTCCTATGTTCCGACAATCTGATTACCCCTGATCTGCTAGTTTGACCTATATAGTTGACCTCATAATCACTGCAAGGTATTTTGTAAATTACATTATTTTGTTTAATTGGGTCTACCGGGTCCTTTAGCCTACAGAGCTTGTCTGTGAGTGAGGTTGTAGGTTTGAATGCCACCCTAATTGCCACTTTATTAAGAATCCTACGGAGGGCATCATATGTCCCCTCCTTATATGGTATAACAATAGATGACTTATATTATAGTTGATAGTGTAAGGGTTTTGTAGCTACTTCCGTTTAATACTGGACACGTCTGTGCACAGAGGTGTGCGTGATATCTACTACCTATTCGAACAAAATACATAGCTGTAACAAAATTCAGGACAGAATATTGCAAATCATTCATGGAAAACTGTACAGAAAAAATGAATTACTTACTGCTAGTTCCTAACTGGTATCTTGTATCACTCAAGTCTTTCTTATTCACTAAATTTACATCTAGCTGACAGTAAGATAACCACTGAAGTTAAGAAGCGGATGAAAGCCCTAACGTCAGCAAAATGAAATCCACCAGACTGTCAGCTTGATGTTTAGGCTCTTGGAAGCATATTATACGCTCTCTAACTGATAGATTTCGGCTTGCTGACAACAGCGCCGATCACCCGATTAACGTCTTTACCTGTTGCCTTGAAATTGAGGCGATTACCTGTGTGAATTTGGATTCCGAATCAGTGATCATGTGGTCTAATAAATTAACTTGGATATTTTCCCCTTACTCTCCATGAATTCTTTCATTCATTATCTTCTACTAATATATAAACTTTTTTTAAATACTCAGCCTTATATTATACGGAAATGAAAACGGTGGTCTGCTGGCAGCTTCATGTGCTAATCAAAGGCCAGAATTATTCAAGGTTGTCATTTTAGACAATCCACTTGGAGATATGCTGCGTTATTACAAATACTCTTCAACAGGTAGATGGATGAACGAATATGGAAATCCTTATCATGAAGAAGATTTCAAAGCATTATACAGGTAAGTTAATATTGTCAATAAGTGAATGCTAATTGAAAAAACTACTAATTTACACATGAAAAAACTTTGTGAGGTTGGATTCCATTATTCATTTATACACAGTCACAGTAGACTTTCACTGCTTGCGCCATAAAACTCAAAATATGTAATATCACTGGCTAGAAATCGCATCACCTGAGCTATGGAGATCCAACTGCCTACCATTTCATCGTTACACAAGTTATGTACAGGTGCCTTGAGGATGAGTCAGTGTGCGTATACCTTCTTCCCACTAGGTATCTATCTAGATCTTCTCTTATCAATCCTTATCATACCTAATTAGAAGAATTGTTAAATGTTAGTGAGATGGGTCTGACCTTATATTCTGGATCAGTAAAAAAGCACATGATACGCATACGTATACAGCACCTGTGTACATACTTAAAGGTGACTTAATTTAGTTGATATCTATAGTCCCAAAAGACAGGATTTACTTTGCCATGAGATAAATTTTCCGCATTCCTTCACACATCACCATCAATAAAAATGACTCGAATAAAAGCCGTCTTTATAATCGCTGATATCATTTTTCATTTTTCTACCTACTCGTTGTAAATACTGAGAAAATTCAACATGTTTAACCTAGATTCCCTATCAGTAACGCTTCCCTTACAGGAGACTAAATAGTTATTTCCCTCCGTTCATTGTTCTTTTCCTGTATCAAATGACTGCACATCTGCTGGTCATTTAATAATACTTGACAACTGCTTAATGATCAGATGACACTACACTGTGAAACTGCATTCATCAGTTTTGTTAGTCTCATCTGACAAATCTCTTCAAACCAGAAACTGGATCTTCAAATCAATGTGAGAGTGTTTATTCTAAGTTAAATTTTAAGATGATATTTTAAATAGCTAAACCATTTCATCGTTGACTTCAAATGACAACAATGTCTACCATGATACTGAAACTTTTTATAGACAGAATGTGAGGTCAAAAATTGATAGGTCAGAAGATCTATGAGAAAGTTGCACCACTTAACGAAAGTCTACACGTAGCTAAAAAAAATGTAGAAAATCAGGCTTACCTATTGTCAGATATTCAATAATACATTTATTTAAATCACAGTTCTTGACGAATACTAACAACTAAGTGTACAGTACTATCATTAGACTAAGTTACAAAATTAAATCGAAATGACTACAGTTGTGTTAGCATTGTGACCACCTAAAAAAATGTCCCGTTCCATACTCAAAACTTAAATGATAGTTATATATTATGGCGCAAACATTCTCTGGTATCTTAGCTGTAGGTTACTTATTATGCATAGTCCATGAAAATTTAATCTTACTTAATCCCATAGAATGGCAGTCAAACCTCTACCTCAACTTCCTTCATCGACTTCGAAAAGGACTTCGACAGACAGCATTGACCGAGAAGTAATTTGGAAACTGCTTTAACACTACGGCGTGCAATGCCCAAAGCTTTATCAACCTCATACAACAACTGGCTACATGACAGTGCCACGTATCAAGTAATCCACGACGGAAAACTCAGCAAGACGTTCGAAGTGAATACAGGTGTAAGACAAGGCCGTCTGCCTATTATCACCCAAGATGATATTCTTAATTGTGGAGGACTGAACTGTGCATCAGACTGTGCGTGGGGAGTGTGGAGACAGGAATAAGTGGGACTGACCCATAAGAAGACTCCAGAAGATCTGGATTTCGCGTGTGGATGATTCATGTTTAACGTCACACAAACTCGAAGACTTGCAGGCAAAAACCAACAAACTGGCGGAATAGGCGAGACAGCCAGCGAAGATAGGACTGTAGGGGAACATAGAGAAGGTGGAGACGGAGGTGATGAAGATAACCAACTAACAGCAACAACAACTATCACCAGTCACCATCAACACGAGAGATTTGACAGAGGCTACTTCCCGGCTTCACTTATTATCTAGGAAGTATGGTTTCACTCAAAGGCAGCTGGAGCGGATGAAGATGTCAAAGCCAGCCAGCCAGCCAGCTAGCCAGAATCGGAAAAGTGAGATACGCCTCCATCAATCTGAAATCAGCTTGTAAATATTCTGCACTGCACTCAGCCAGCATAAACAACAAGATTCGGGTTCTGTTCGACACAAATGTGAAGTCAGTCAGTCAGTCACTGCTTCGATATGGGTCAGAAACTTGCACTGTGCATCCTGAAGAGGATTTCCGACGAGTTACAGTCTTTCATCAACAGATGGCCACTTCACTAGCTCCACACGGAAGATCAAATGGCCAGAATGGATTAGTAAGAAGAAACTCTGGAAGGTGACGAGCCAACCAATAGCTAATTGCTCAACAAATCTGTAGGAGAGAATGGAGATGGATCGGGCAAGCGTTGAGGAGGCCGTCGAATGACATCGCGCGCAATGCAGGCCATCGCTCGAGTGGAATCCCAATGGGAAGCAACGAGTGGGTCGTCAGTGCGAAGGTGATATGGAGATCGTTTGGGGAGTAGGAGATGAGAGATTATGGGCAGTCGTGGGGCCAGCTGAAGAGGATAGCAGAAAATAGAAGACAGTGGAGATGTGTTGTTGAAATCCTATGTTCCAATTGGAACCCAAGGGAATAATGCGTCGGTGGCACAGCGTTTATGACTCTCGCCGACCATATACATGGTCCGTGGTTCGACCCTCTGCCGACGCACACGTATTATCTATGGTTGGCCTGCAAAATTTGGGCTACCAATATCACATGCTGAAAATTCCATACTTGTACTCAAAAATATACGGTGTGGAATCTAGCTATAATCAAAACAAAAAAATAATAATCCCATCCATTTAGAATTACCTTCCTGAATTCAGATGTTACTATATAATAATAATATTAAATTTATTCCAAGCAATGAATTTTTTATACAGTATTGAATTTTCAGCGTACTAATATACTGCAACAGACTGTCCACTTCTACAAATGGATTAATACATAAAGTAGTAAAAATAATAAACCGTAAACTTTGAAAGTTAGTAAGCGACTAATATATGTAATAATAATGCTGGTAGTAAATTGCTGTATGTTTACATATTGAAATTTAGGTTCATAAGCTTTTTCTGAAGTTTGTCTCTTCACAAAAACCGTGTTAAAAGTGGTATTGTTAAATTCTTGTATATTACCATATGAACGGAAATTCATATGAAACTTCTTTTGGCTATACTGAAAGGGGTACATGGAGAAAGTTGTGAATAAAGAGGCTGTTCAGTATCAGATGAGATGACTTCAGCCATTTGCTTGTAATAATTAAAATGCTTATCTACGAAAATGTCAGTTAGTTTAGTTAAAGGCTCACCATTAACAAGTCTTCAATATCCCGTATAATACAACAACCTTCGATGTCTGAATGAACATTTTTGCAATAAAGAAGAATGGGCAAAATACATGGATGAATAAAATGTAGGAGAAAAGGTCGAGTTATACCGCAAAGTCCTAACTTCCTTATTTAATAAGCCCAAAAAGGTATTTTCTTAGAAATCAACAAGATATGAGACGACTAACAAGGATTTGAGGGGAAACTAATACCAAGACGGGCAAAATTCGATTTATTTCCTAACATCATGCCGTCTATATCGCAAAGATCATGGAACTGAATCAATCTGTACATGTTTCTTTTTCACGCCTGAAACTAAAATTAACAGTGTGATATTTATGGCATGTCAGTTGAAGACCATTTAAATAAGACCCCCTGGTTAATCTTAGTTAAGAAACCATTCATATCAAAACAATCTAATGCAGAAACAATAGAGACAGAAATTTTCAGATCATCAGCACATTTATTTAAATTGGCTTCAAAATAAACGGTAAGTCATGCAAAAGGAATAAACAAGAATTGGAGATAGTGCAACACCTTAAGGTACATCATCTTCCACAAGTGAAGCTGTTTCCATTAAAAACAGGGGACAACCACCTTGTGACTCAGGGCCTAGTATGCTCTACAGCCAGTTTGCTTAGCAAAAGTGACCTAAAAACAGAGTCGAAAGCGGCTATGTAGTTTAAAAAGACAGACTGTATGGAATTTGCATTTTTACCTAATGTTACTCAATATTATGGTGTAGCACAGTGGCAGCATCTAAAGTGCTCTTACTGAATTTAAAGGCAAATTGCTTTGGATTACTGAAAGATTTTAAAGGGAGCTTAAGAAAGTGCAACGGAAGTTTTCCCATGATTTTCAGAAATGCAGATGTGATGGCGACTGAACTAAACTTCGCACCTGATCCAGAAAATGATGACTTTAGTACAGGTGCAACCCTTATATCTTCCCAAGTAACAAGTACTGTAACCCAATTAAATAATTAATTAAAGGTTTATGTAAGAGGATGACACAAAATATGTGAACACTTATGAAGTAAAATGTTTGATACTCCATGTGTACTTGGATTGTGTGATGGATTTTCATCAAACCCTGAAAATAATCATTTATTTGACTGGCGGCATGAAGTAGAATCATATTACCATATTGATATAAGTATAAAACTTGGGCACTGTGGTAGAGCATAACTCCATTATGGATAAGATTTTATTTTGATAAATCACACAGTGTGGTACAGTAATATTAACTGTATAGTATATTGAGTCAGCATATTGACTTATAAAAGATCAGTTTAAGGTGTGTACATCAGAACAAGCATCAATAGAAATTCGTCTTTCTTTTGCTTATAAGTTGATTAAATATTCATAAATTTAGCATAACACTCACAAATTTCCAGTCTATTAATCTGTATAAATTATTTTATAATGTAGTTATTCACCGATACATAACATCCCAAATTTATCAGTCTCAAAGTCATGTTATCCAGCAGTTTTAATATTGTCAGACTGTAAAACCGCAAATGTGGAATATGTGCATTCAATGAAATTGTTAGCAGCACTACAAAATGAAATTACTGCAATTCATACATCTGAACAAAATTACTGTATTCTTGGATGGTTTAAAACTGAAGATAAACTTAAGGTAAATGTGATTTTCAGGTCACTTTATTGTTGATCCAAATATCCAATGGTAATCTTGACTTAATGGATTGATTTCCCCATACGAGGAAAATAAATGAACTTTACAGGAAATTATAGTTTCCGACAGGATTGAAAACAGCCATACACCACTGCTCTGACTGATATAACCATTGGGTTTCAAGTGGAATATATGACTTCGGCAGAACACTGTGATTTCATTACTTCACCCTGCTAGGGAAACTGCTTTCACGTTTCACTTTGAACTGTGCATTTTATAATCAAATGATTTCATTGCATATTTTAGCATCTCCTTTACCAGGTATCATCCCAGTGATCATATAAAGCGAAGGTCTATTATAGGTTTGAATTTTTCTTAAAGTAACATCTTCACATCTAGAGTGAAATTAAAACTCAACTTCCACTTCTTTTACAGATCGAGAAGGTGATTAGCATGTGGTCATTTATTCAGATATATTTATCACTTCATTGGCAAGTGAATAAAAAGAATTCAAAGCCTTCCAGGAAATTATCCATCAACAGAAAGTAGAGTATATGTCTAATTCCTTCTATTTAATCATTGTTACTATTATACAATGAAATACTTTAGATCGAAATATAAAATGTTTAAATGTGTAAAAGAAATATTTTATTCATTTGTTTTACTAAGCAAATAAAAGAGAGATATGAATGTTGAGTCATAAAATGCGTATTCATTGTGTTTTGTCTGTTTGTTTATGTGATTGGGGTCAATTATTTGGATGCTTTTTTATTATGAACTCCTTTCTTACTGTAGGTTTTATAATTTCTCAAGTAATGTCAAGCTACCATTCACTCAGACAGGGAAAAATAAAAGGAGACTATAAGCTTAGATAAGTTGTTTGCACTGGTATCAAACGAAATGCCAGTGAACCCGAAGGCTGTCTATGAAGTAGCAATGAAGATGGTAGCTTAATTACGCAACTGTCGACATTGATGGGAGTCCCAAAAAACATGTTTTTCTTATCTCTTGCCAACATTGTAAAAAGCTTAAGCTAATTGTATGCTTCACTTAACTCTTACTTAACATTTCCACAAATAATTCACATGCCTACACAAAACTTTTGCTGAAATCGATTTTATGCGTTCTAAGGGAATATTTATTACAGTTGTGTATTTTCGCTCTGTAGGTGAGTATGTTTTCAGGTATATTTTTATTTATTGAGTAGCTAAATACTGCCTCCATACTGGCGCACTCTTAAGCTCAACCCCGCTACTCACACGAGATTACAAACCATGACATATGCCCTCTGACTTAGCGTTTTTATACACCGGTGAAACACAACGCATGATAAGTTGGATATTTTCAAAAAAAATATTTCAATTTTAGTATGTTGTATAGAAGTCAGGTCAGAATTCACACTCCAGAGACTTCCTCTAAATTTTTTTCTTACTGTTGTGAATTATTAAGTATTACATTACATATTGTAATGCCAGTCCTCAAGCACTGATTTGAAACAGAGATCAAAGGGCACGTTAGCTGGGTGATCACACAAGTGATGTGTGCTAGTAAGAAAGAAGACTCAAGGTCAAGGATTGTATTTACAACCAATGATATTACAATTAGGTGAGAGAGGAAGGGTCTTCCTATTGGTCATCAGTTGCATCGTCTTGGGCGAAAAATCCCTGCACGCTACGTAGCCAACCTGAAATTAGATAATTATACAGTTCAAATATTTGATAACCGCCTAACTTATTACGCCTTACACTATATAGGGTAATATTATCCCTTTCTTGGAATGGTGCCAACTTTATTTCGGGTGTATTAAGGCATTTCAGTAAATAGGCTAAAATACACTATCATGATCTCATGAAAATCCAATAAAATACATTCAACTCTTGAACTTACTGCCTCCATTTGATCCATTAAATTGCTCAAATATCAGTATCACGAGACATTTTCTGATAAAAATCCAGCGAATGTAACGCAGTTCGACAATATAATGCCACCAATGGTAGATATTACAAAAACATTTTAATGCAAAACTTCATTTGAGAAGCATATAAAACATATAAATTGTGATTAAACCACCACTGCGATGGGTTACTATGCTACAATAAGCGGGATTATGCCATAAAACCGCTAGGTATTTAAGTCTTGGAAACTTTCCACTTCATACTTGGAAATATCCAAGTGTAACTGACATCTTATAGGTGTATCCATCTGAGTACTGGTAACTTGTTGTAATACATAGGGTAATGTGTTCCGCAACCGATGATTTTTGAAGGGAGCAGTTTTAGATATCCTACATCATAAAGACGGGTAGTCTGAAATTGAGTATTCCAAGTAACAAGGCGGCTGTACATGGAGACGCAAACACCAATTCTGTGATCCATACAGAAGCACTGGCCTGACGTTAGTGTCGGAAATTCGGATTAGTTCTGTAATGGATGGTGTGAATCTCCACACGGATTTCAGATATATGAACGCCTAGAGTGCCTTTTTGGTCTGTTCCTGGCTGGCTTTAGCATCCTCATCTGGGCCGCCCATAACTGAAACAACTCTAATGATGTTAACGTAAGTGATGGCTTCCTTCAAATTTATCTGATTGGTATCCGTTTTCAGTGATGAAGTATCTTTCAATTTCTCTTGCACATCTCAGATAGTGCTTATTTCCCAGTGAATTCTTTAACAGGACTCAATAAGATTTTTAATTTAGACTTTTTGATACAGTCACATGGTCTTCAGATCAGTGAAAAGATAAGAAACTTGGCTCAGGACTTCCTTAAGCATAAAACACAAAGAGCAATCTCTAACACCGGTCTTGTCACGACAGCTACCATCATTCTTAGAGATACAATTCTAATTCTTCTTCTCTATTTACTACATATAAACAGGATAGTAATAATTTATATTTCGTATAAGGTTTACATAAAATGCACGCCATTATTACAGACATGATCAGAAACGGTATAAATTGTAATCGTAAAATATCAATAGATAATTACTGTTAAAATAGTTCAAATGTTCGAATTACAATGCAAACAACCAGAACAGATCCATATAAAGTTTAAATTGTGCGGCCATCAACAGGGTGGTAGCCCAATCTTCGTCCCTCTTTTCTGTGAGTGATGTCAGTCGACCGATGAAGAATCATCACCTGGGTAAATCATGTGTCTTCCCGTGAAAGGAAGCTATTTTTAGAGAGAACAGAATGTTACAAGAAACTGTAAATTGACATATAACACAAGTAAAGATAATATACGATTGAAAATACATTTACAGGAGATAAACATGAAGGAGCTATGTCGTCCTTAGAATGACAACATACATTTGCAAAGTAAAGTGCTAAACATATCGGTCTTACCACGGAAACTATGACGTTTTCGATGAGAATGCAGCTTTCCTCAAACAAGGCAATTTTTGTTTTTATTCCAGAACTAGATGTTAAGGAAACACGGAATACAAACGAAAAGAGCAGGTTTTAACTTAATTAAAAGCCTAGACAGTTAAGATATAACAAAGCATAATAATGCTCAGGTAAAAATTATTACGAAGTATGTAAGTGATAGTTTAGTCAGAAGTAGCTTCGGAGATCAGGGAAAGTATAACATTTGGGACGTACTGTTGCTCGAATCTGCCTAGCGCCCACAGGATCGCATTATGACAACGAAGTGAGTGACCGGATAAGAACTAGAAGCAGAAGCATTATGTTATTTAGATCTGTAGCGGTGAATAATTCCCCAAAATTATTGACCACAGTAATCATCACTGGACATTGGATGCTGACCCTCACTATTTAAGTCGACTTATTTAGCTGAAGGCTTCTGGTCAGGCATCCATGCCATTTGGTACTCTGTTGTGTCACGTTCGTGCACGATCACTAGCCCGCTAAGCATTCATCCCGGTCTACAATTTGGTCCCGTATTGTATCTCGTAGTTTGGACGATTAAATAGTGTCTTTTGCTTTTCCTTTGGTTCACGAGGAACGAATACTAAAGAAGTTGTTGGTATAAGATCTTGCGTTAGTATACTCAGTACAGTCCACGAATGTCGATATCGTCAGCCACTAAAGATCCTTTGCAGTATTATCTCGATGCGTGTACATATGTACATATATATTACAGAAAACTAGAAAACTGAAAGTTTTTAAAAAGAATATGGTATAGAAATGTTCAGTACTTGAGCAGATTAAGTCAGAGTGTATTAAGTAGAGTGAAATGAATAGTGGTACAGTTGGTGATTAAGGTAGTTAAAATGATCTCGAGGAAAACAGTCGGTTGGTTAGAATTACTGCGCTAAGTTTCCATGACCACTTTTCATATCGCATGCTTTAGACATTGCTAAGTACCCATTTACATATTTCCTGGGAAGACGATTGCGAACAATTTCACTGGTATACGTTTAGGATAATTACAGACAGACTTATACTTCTGTAAACCTGTCTGATAAAGCAATAATAGGATTTCAAATAAGTTCAACAAATTGACTTAACCTCGCCTGGTTTATTATCTCTCTAGCTTTCTTGCCGGTCCCAAGTCCATGGAAAGAGGGAGGGGTGCGCGTAGGGCTAGGTACCCTACACCGCAAAACCAGTCAAACTGCTACAGAAACTTCAGCGCATAAGAAATATGTTAGAAATACAAAAAATTTAAAAAACAAACTTATTCTTCTCTGGAACCGGAGATGTGAAATGACGCTGGCTGGTGAAAGCCCTCATGAGGCCAGTTAGTCGATGTGTCTTCTTTCGATGACAGCAAAATATACAGTGGGGACGTGGGATGCTCCTACCATGTACGAAACTGGGAAAGCTGCCCAAGTAACCAAAGAAATGAGAAGATGTTGTATGGAAGTGCTCAGAATCTGTGAGAGCAGATGGAATGGATGTGGATTATCAAAACTGTCAACTGGTGAGTCAGTAATCTACTCTGATCACGCATACGACAACCACGAGCATACTGAGGCAGTGAGTGGCTATAACGATATCACCAGTGACGGATGAATCCCTAATTCAATATGAACCAATTTCCTCCTGGATTATGACGGCAAAGTCCAACTCCAAAGAAAGGAAGGTTACAATCATTCAATACTACTCATAGTGCTGCGAGCAACGCCGAATAGGAGAACAGGGGAGATTTCTATAGACAGTTACAAACAGTAATGGACGACACACCAAATAGAGACATCAGGATCCTTATGGGCGATATGAATGCCGAACTGGGAGCAGATGATGCAGGAAGAGAATTCATCATGGGTTGAGAGGCGCTCGGAGAAATGAATGAGAACAGAGAATTATTCGCAGAATTCTGCGCTTCAAATGATTTGGTGTTTGGAGGTAGCGTGTACAAGCACAAGAATATACACAGAGCAAAATGGATTTAACCTGACGGACATACCACAAACCAAATAGATTTCATATCAATGCTATTCAAGGAAGTGGAGACACAGCCTTCTGGGTACAAAGACGAGAAGGGGATCAGATGTGGGCTCAGACCATCATTTAGTTCAAAGAAACTTCAAGGTGAAGCTTAAATCCATGAAAACAAATGGAGACAGACCACAATTCGAGT